TCCTGCTGACACATCCATGCCATTCTGATCATGGTCTGCACTGTTTGCTTTTTAGTCTGTACATAATTCCCTCAAAATGATGCATAAAAATATGTCCATATTTCAAGATGAACAAATACATTTAAGACATTTAGCGTGGAAAGGGTTAAGCTGATCAGAATAAGGATGAACATTATGGTAGTAAGAACTAAACTTTAAAATTACAATATTCTCTATAACCAACATCTAAATCTCCAGGCCCTTTAAATCTTTAATAAGAATAAGAGTATTTAGTAGGGAAAAATACTGTTCCATGGACCATGTTCAGAATAGATGTAGATAAAGCTGTACCTGGGAAATGACAAACTCCAGTCTTTGGCAAGAACAGAAGTTGTTCTGTTTCACTAGTTGAAGCTGACATATAACATTAACAGAGGAATTTTGTACACACACAAAAAAACTTAACCAAGTTTATTAACTACAAATTCATTTTCAGCAATTTCTTTCTCAAATTAAACAGTTGAAAAAAACAGGAGAATTTAAGACCAGGTAGTCTTTTGATAATTCCAACTTTCTGAAATATTTCTCCAGAAAGTGCAGTGAAGCAAATTATTTGTGAGGGCATGAAGCATCGATGTAATTTGACATTGTTAAATACAGTAAAGACTAGATGAGCAAATATACAAATGTGTGTTTTAATAACAGTATCATAATTCATAACTTACATGTTACTGTCTAAATTCAACAAAATTTCGAGAAAAAAAATCTAGCTCTACTTGAACTTCAAAAAACTTTTGAAAAAATACTATCTACTTGATTTTCTTCATAAAGTTTGGTGCTAGAGTTCATTAGATTTGTTAGATCTACATATCGAATATATATAACTGTTGGGCATGCATCTCATTTTACCAGACGACTGTGCACGCGAATATCGTTCAGTAACTTTTTTTTCAAAATTTAAAACCAAATCAAAAAGGTATTAAATTACACGCTGTTGGTGTTTTTTATAGTAATTGAAATATACCATGTCGGCATCGCGTCTTTTATCTGGTGGGGAATATGGGGGACCGTCTCCGCAGGTAGCCATTTTCTGCCTCTGAAGTCGCCTGAAAATAATTAAAATCCCAAATTCACCGCGTGCGTAAAATACATCCAAACGAGGCGGGTTTCAACTTTCAGATGTTTGACCAACTATCTCCATAATAAATCAAATTGAATAAAACACAAATGAATAAACAAATCCGATACCAATATGAAAATGCATTTACTTTTCCATTACACAATTTGTAAACAACAGTAAGCGGAAGTTTATCTATGTTCTTTAGAACCTATCGAAGCGTCTCCGTTTGTGTTTTCAAAATGTGCCCAAAACCGAGTAAACCACGCCTCCTGCAATTTGGTTTGAAATTGCCGACAGGTGCGCTCAATGTGCGAGCGTTATTCTGTGACGTCAGAATGATTGACGGTAAATTACGATTTGTCTCCCTTGGCGCAAAATCATAATATGTCTACACGAGTTACATACCTTACACCGATACCAACTCCTAACACGTTGACAGAGATAACGTATTTAAAGTTACATTAAATAAATTTCATAAAAAACTAAATAGCGACATTTCATTAAAAAACTGGGTTTTATATCGACTCCAGGTCTTATTTTGGTGTCAAAACAACCAAAATGAGTTTTATTAGCATAAAAATAGGTAACCTCATTGTGGCGAGATGGGAAATACAATTTCTGTTTGCATGAGAAACTCCGCCTTCGGATCATCCGTACATCAATATTAAATCAACAATCATGACTATAAGTAGCAGTCCTAATTTAACGGTATATTTCCGCATTGTAACGGATGTTTTCATACAAATTTAATCTTTTTACGAGATTATTACTTTTACTGAACCCCAGGTTTAGTGCACCGTGAAGCTTAAACGGTTAAAGTGTGTTTGCACAAGAAAATATCACATTTGCTGTGTTCGGATAGCAACTATAAAACTGTGACGTAGCGCATACACGAGCTCATTATAGTCTTCATTTGCATGTTAAAATTCGTATACGAACTTTAGTGGTACCGTGGGGTTTCCCGTTTAAAATCCTTATTTATGAACAATATTTGATGAGATTTACAACAAAACTTTTAAACAGGTTAATGAAACTGTAGAATCTTTGATTTTTAGGCCGACGGCAAAATATTTTTACATATTTATTTAATGTAACTTTAAGTACAGATTGTATTTTTGACACATATGAACTCATAATTTAACTTTTTTTTTACACTATTTTGTTCAATTTTTCTAACCCATTGACTATTCTAGGAGGGTGGATAAAATGTAATAAATTTTCACTTTTCAAATCCGAGAATAGGCACTGCTAACCAACATGAGATGAGGGCCAGCATCTATATCTCTTTTACCATTTATTGCTCTGCAGTTCATGATTGGGTGAACATGACTTTATGAAGAAGGAAAATTTTTATGGAAAATAAGTGACCCAACCTCAGTCAAACCCTACACAATGGTTCCAAAATGCCCATGCCTCTTTATGGTTACAGAACAGCCATGCAATTGCTTCATACATACCAAAAATATTGCCCAAAATAAGAGAGCCAATTAGGAAAAGAATAAATATATATTTATGGCCATAGTAACTATGACTTTGATCCAAAATATAAGAAAATATTAATGCAATAAGTGTTTTATCCAAATAATTAAGATATCAGTCAGTTGATAAGTAAAGGCTTTTTGATGAAAAATAGAAAAACGAGCACCGCATGTGGTGATAATGCTCATCTGTTAAAATTCTAAGATAAAAAGGGACATAACTCCAAAAATATTGCTTCCCCATTTAACTACATCTTATGATAAGCATGTATTCCAAGTTTCAAGTTGATAACTTTTCAAATGTTTGAAAAATTGGCAACATTTAAGTTTTTGCATGATTATGACAAAAATCATAACTTTACTTTTTCTTTGAAACACACAAGCTAAAAATGTTATTCCAGCAAATTACTGAACTATATCTAAAAGGCATGTTATGTCTCTAGGCAAAGCAAGTGTCCCCAATGTGCGGCCGGGTTAATTTTGACCCAAAAGCCATGTTTTGAATAAAAAAATTTCAATGGCATAAAAGATCAGAATTTGTTTTCATTTAAATTCAGAATGTCTAGTCCTATGCCTTCTTGTGCCTAAAATAATGTATAAAGGGCACCTGAGGTTTTCGTCCTCCACCAGTAAAGCTAAGAGGTCGCCACATGAACTTATCAGTGTTTATGACTTTTAAAACCCAACAAAATAAATAGACATGACTTAAAGAAATGGATGCTCCCTTAACCTGCATTTCAATTCACATTCATCAATAGATATTTTGATAAAGGCTGCATAAGCAAAATTGTAAAAATCTATTTTCAGGACTGGTGATCTTGACTCCAGTGACCCCTTACTACACCCAAAGTCCCAACAAAGGTATCTACCTACCAAACAGGAAAGACATCAGTCGACAAAACCTGTTCGCAGACAGTGTGCTCCACTTTTCTCAATGCTGGATAGTTAACAAAAGCAACACTGGAAAGAGGGCATAATTCTGCAATAGGACTTAGCATACCCCACCTACCTTTGATAGTCAACAACAAATTTTACAAGTTTGAAGTGAATGTCTTCAACAGTTTTTGAGAAAAAGCCAAATATTCTAACTTAAAGAAGTGCCATCGTAAAGCTTGACTATTTTTATTCCTTATTTCTAAAGTCAAACACATCACATCATCGACAGAAGAATATTCTAGTAAAGATTACTCCTAGAAAACATTATTTTATTGTACTTAAATTTCATATTTAGACATTGACAGTCAAGGTCACATTTGAATTAATCACCTTGTCAGTTTTGTCATAAATTTTCTCTGTCCAAGAATGAATCAAATCCTTATATAAATAACAAAGTTATGACAATTTAAACAATTTCGGATACTTTGAGCTTAATGGTAAAGGTCAAAGGTCAATGACCAGAATAATTAACATGTTGATTTTGTCATATGTATTCTTATTTCCAAGCAAAAATCTAGCCTGTTAACGATTTGACCTTCAAGATCAAGGTCATTGATAAGTGAAGGTCATGGTCAATTTGGTCTTCTTAGAGATCTTGACCACAGGATTATTATATCCAAATATGAAGACAATCAAAAAATAAATAAGAAAGTTATAGCCAATTATAGCAAAAATCAAGCAAAACATTTACGATTCATGGTCAATATCAGTTTGCAATGGTTTCTTTATATGAAAATGCACATAATGAAATGGAGAATTACAGATTTAGACATATACTTTTATGCAAGAGTAGCTATAATGCACCTTTTTTTATTCATTAATTTCTGTGCAGCCCTAGGACCTATTTATTCCTTCTCCCTCTAGACTCGTGCTTTAAATGTGGTCCTCTTGTTTTTGCAGATGTTATGCAGGAAAAAGATGAATTGACCCTCTCTTATAAACTTTATATAAAGACAGGTAATATGACTGTGTATTTGTCACAGGGTGAGAAAAATGTGCAGCCTGACCGGGACTCTAACCCGGGACCCTCGGAATATCGTTCCGTCGCTCTACCGACTGAGCTATCCGGCCACTTACACATCTTCTCCCCTAAATAGTGAACAGTTCTGAACCGTGACATACTCCCCTGCTATGTTGAAATTCGTCCTCGAATTTCACAGAGTTACAGAGCAACGTAAATTAAACTCTGAGCTTTATCAGTCACGGTCCCATGTTGGGCGCCAAATGTGACAGGGTGAGAAAAATGTGCAGCCTGACCGGGACTCGAACCTGGGACCCTCGGAATACCATTCCGCGGCTCTACCGACTGAGCTATCCGACCGCTTAAACATCTTCTCCTCTAACTTGTGAACAGTTCTGAACCGTGACATATTTATAAAGGAAAATTTTGTATAAAGAAATTGCAAACAGACAGACACTGACAATAAACGATCATATTTACGCACTTTGAGCACACGGTTTCTGGTTATTACAAAACAAAAGACAGATTAACATCTTTTAGATTTTATTCCACATTCTTGTTCACATTTCAGAAGAAGAAAAAAACACCATCACAATTATAACATCCTGCAAATAGGAACCAGCTTATTGAACTAGATACTGGGAACAAGCTGATCAACATGATTTTGGGTACCAACTTATCAAATACAATATATGTTTGGTACCAGTTTATTAACAAAATGACTGGTACCAATTTATCAACTAAATTTACAAAACTTAATAACTGGATCTATTTTAATAGCTTGATACCGGATACATTATTAAATTCTTGTACCTGGCATCAAATTGAAGCTTGGTACCAGTTCACCAACTTGTTCTTAAGATTCTGGCATTTCAACTTGATATTACAACCAGCAGTTCAATATAAAGTCTAGCACTAGGTAAAGTACAGTGCCAGGTACCAGTAGATTAACTTAAAGCAGCAAAAACAATTAAAAATTGGGTACCGGCTGATCTATTTCAATTAAATGCTTGGTGATAATCAACATCTTCTCAATGCATTATTTAAACACTAAAACAACACAAATATAAAATACAATATTTTCTATATAAATTTTTTTATCATCATTCACATTTCATTATTTGTTAAAAATTTGTCCAACATGAGAATAAATATGAGAAAATAATAATACATAGATATACATGATGAACATGGATTAAATCCTTGCACGGTAACTGAAGATGAGACGCGGTCTAACAAATTTGAAAAAAAAAAAAAAAAAAAAAAAAAAATCGAGAAAAAAAAACTGTAAGCTGATTGGGTGTAAAATATCTGTACATTATGAGGCCTGGGATGACGAAATTTGACTTAGTTGAACTATTTTTAATTCCATTAGCAGAATTGGTTAGTAAACTTTGTGTGTAAAAAGTAAAATGTGAACATGATGTTTTTCTTAGGCTTGATTTATTGCACATAAAAAAATCGAAAAAAAAAAATGTTTTCTGATAACAATTTCTTTTATACACATATGAATTTTAAGAAGTAAATGGGGACAATACTGTTAAGAAATTTTGAAGACGTTTGTTACAATTTTAATGAATCGCATTTCATAAGTCTGAAAAGAAAATCGAATATTTGACAATATAACTGTTAAATCCTTTTTAACTCAATTCTAGCAATTAAAACAACTTATCCATGCTACCAGTATAGAGCCTGGAAAGTGCGCACCAGTACACGTTCGTGCAATTTGATAAGCATCATAATAGCAGTGTACGAACATTCAGTTTCTGTTTTTACAAGAAAGGTACTAGTTAAAATATTACAGACTCCCAAGAAATGTACAGTAATCATAAGACATCATACATATCAAATTTTAGACATAATATAGTGATTTTGTTTATCCACTGTTATAGTACTGGCTCTTTGAGTATTTTGATATCAAATCTTGTCTAATTTGAGTATTTTGATATCAAATCTTATCTAATATGAGTATTTTGATATCAAATCTTGTAACATAAACAATGGGCATTTTCAGTAAAATTAGGGATTATCCATCATACAAAATTTTGCAAGTTAAAAATTAATGCAGATTTCTGCCTTTAAAAGTTAAAGTTGAATGAATTCTGAACACTGTACAATGTAAAAATTTAGCTTTAAAATCATGAGTTTAATTTGAATTAATGAAAGTCTGGTCAGATATAGTGTTTCTATAAATTTATTGTTCTCTTACACCCTCCTTTTAAACTCATTTGCAGTGGATATGCTGCAGAATAAATTTGAAATTGTTCAGTGCTAGTTTTATAGATGGCTGTATAAATAACACTAAAATAAAGCAGAAAACAGTCTAGATTTTATTCAGACAGCGTGTATGGGCAGTCTGGCCTGGCTCTATACTGGTGTCATAGGCAAGTCATGACCTGGGTCCGAGGGTCTACAGAAATTCTTCAAGCTCAAACTCAGATCTTCGGTATTTGATTGGCCAGAAACTCCCACAGAATGTACACTGACCAATGAAAATCTTGAGATTAAGTCAAAACTCAGAAATAAATATAACCTTGAGGCCAGGACTGGTGTTTGGAAAATTGAGAATGACAAAATGGTTTTCACATCAGATATTCAATATTACAGTACGACTAACTGGAAAAATGAAAAATTATGTCATTATATTTCTTTTTTTAAACCTTTGACTAACTATAATGAAATATGAGGCAAAATGAAAGTTGAATGTTAACAAACTTAAGAAAGGCACTTTCAGATCCTAAAGCCAGCAGTTACAGATTCAAACACTTATTACATCATGCCAAAGTCATTTCATATTCTAGCAAAATTAAGTCTCAAGTCAATTTATGTCCTTGCAAAATTAAGTCTTAAGTGATTTCACATCCTAGCAAAATAAGTTGTAAGTCATTTCACATCCTAGCAAAATTACCTTTAACATTTATTAAATCCTAGCAAAATTAATTCTTAACTCATTTCATATCATAGCAAAATTAAGTTTTAAACCAATTAATATCATAGCCAATTAAAGTCTTAAGTCATTTCATTTCTTGCAAAATTAAGTCTTAAATCACGTCATATCCAAGCAAAATCAAGTCTAAATTATATATTAAAATCTTATCCAAAACAAGCCTACAATTCATAAAATACACTTGTATTTCATATTTTATTTTATGTTCTTTCTTATGACTAATTTACGTTTCTCTCTTTTAAAGAGGCACGACCCCAGATGAGTATGATACTTTTCAAAATAATCTAACTTGAAATCTTTTTTTAAAGGTTAAAACTAAGTAATATTCAAGATCCAAACCATGAATAATAGGTTAGTAAACAACCTTTATAATAGTTTTCTGTGAATTCTGCTACTTTTGTGATAAACATTTGCCACCAGTATAGAGCCAGGCCAGCCTGTATGTCCATGCAGTCTAGCCAGACGCTATACTGTTGGCTGACTTATTATAAAATTTCATCTTGACATTCCTAAAATAGATAATGGACAGTTCCAAAAATAGATAATGGGCAAGTCCATTTTATAAATTCAGCAGGTTAAGAATTAAAGAAAGAAGAGTGGAGAGTATGTGACTTTGACTAGGATTTAATACATCATTATACATGTACTATTCATTATCAGATTTATCACCAGAAGTACTTCCCTTTAACTTCTGAAAATCCAGTAACATTTTCTTTATCGAAATCTTGTAATCATTGCTTACAGTTTAAATCTATTAAAATTACTGACTGATCTTTTCCCCTTTTTTTTTAAACATTTCCAATTTTCAAGTTTCACCAAAATTCTGCAAGAAAGCAACTACATGTATATAAAAACCTGTCCATTTCACCATTTGCTAAATTGTACACTTTTTTTCCTTTTTTTCTACATTCAAACAACATGCAAATAAATTAAATCTCTCTCACACATATATAAAATAACAAGAAAAAAACAGGTAAGCCTACAAATTTAAACAACAGACAGCCTCCTATTACGATGATATACAGCCCAGTGAAAGTGAAGGAAGTTAAACAATTTACAGCTTTTACCAATTTTCATATACTGTATATTGCCTCGTAAATTTTATCAAGAAAATCAAATTTAAAAAAAAAAAAAAAAAAAAAAAAAAAATAGGACACATGTCTGTTGTTTAATTTTGTTGGCTTAATTACATCACAGAAGAATGTTATCATTATAGAGAATACAGTCACTGCCGTATGAGGATTTGTATATTTAAAACCCTCTGCTAATTCATCGTATCTGAAACTTGATTTTGAAATCATGTTCATTTAGCCATCACGTAGATTTAGTAAATAAAATACCAAAGAGTTATAAAAGTATGGATGATATTGGAGCCTAACTCTTGATTGTACAAGTCATTGGCCAATTTTAAATTGTATAAATGAAAATAACCAATTATGTGCTGAGAGTTGAGACCAGTATTCATGAAAAACAGATTTCCTCTGCCATTGGCCAGTTTTAAACTGGAAAATTCAAAACAACCAATCATGGTTCGAGAATTGGGACCTAGTTAAGGAAAAAACCAGAAACTCTCTGCAATTGGCCAATTTCAAATTACAAAATAACCAATCAGGTGCTGAGAATTGAGACCAGTGTAAGAGAAAGCCAGAATTCCTCTACCATTGGCCAATTTTAAATTTGAGGATTCAAAACAACTGAGACCAGTCTAAGGGAAACCAAATAACCTTTGCTATTGGTCAACTTCAAATTGTGGATTTCAAAATAACCAATCAGATGCTGAGAATTGAGATTGGTTTCCATTTTATTTTTCATGGACATATTCCTGTACTGTGATAGTGAAAGAATATATTTAAGTCATAAATACACCAAAACTAACAAAATAGCACCCAAGTACAGACTGCTTCTTTTCTTTAATATTATATTTGATTAAAACTTTAACAGAAATGTTACTTATTTATTGAGGAATTATGAAACGATTCAAAATTTTACGTTATCTTCAAAGTTACATTGTAACAATAACAGACTTACAGAAAATGACATTTTCAAGTTGAACTGATGTATGGGATAAATATTGGTGCATATATGTAGAAATTTATGAACCATTTTATGGCAAACCTATATACATGTATTATAGTAACATGCACAAATTCTTAAAATGACTGTAACTTAATATTAAGACAGATAATTGACATAAGTAATTTGTAGATGGCAGGTCCTAAGGCAGTTCACTGTATCTCTAAAACTTCTAAAAAGTCCAAGTCTGCATGTACATGTACCATTAAATTAGTACATATGCAAACCAAGTGTACATTAAGTGCAGCATTATCTGTATTGTCCGTAGATTATGCCACACATCTTTTAACTCCTGTAATCTCTTAAAGTTTCTCTTTTTAAAACAATCACAGCAGGGTTATATATATAAATGAGGCTCCTCACGACAAAACCAACATAATGGGTTTGTGACCAGCATGGATCCAGACCAGCCTGCGCATCCGTGCAGTCTGATCAGGATCCATGCTGTTCGCTTACCAACTCTATTACAAGTAGAGAAACTGATAGCGAACAGCATGGATCCTGATCAGACTGCGCGGATGCGCTGGCTGGTCTGGATCCATGCTGGTCGCAAACCCATTATGTTGGTTTTGTCGTGACGCGGCTCAAATGTATTTATCTTAGCAAGAGTTTAGCCAAAGTTCGGCTAACACTGTTAACACGGCACTATCACACTCGTGAATGTGTTACACCATATTGTCTACTCACTGGTACCACCACAGTGCTAAAGTCACGATTAGTCACGTGTGAAACTGTGATAAGCCGTCCACAACACCTTGCTACATTGCAACTCAATGCATAATGGGGTCTATAAAAAAAAAATCACAAAAAAAAATAAACAATGAAGTTTCCCACTAACTCCATGTAAGAATGTATGGAAATAAAAACACAAAAACACTTGTGTTGTCACTATACGAAACACAAAGGCAACTTTTTACCTATATCCAGCTTTTGCAAAATAAAATGTTCACACTATGTTATCAAATGCGTCTTTTATCAGCGCACAAATAAAAAATAACCGAACAAACACCGTTCAGTTTGCACGTAACTTCACTAGCGCAACAGCTATGAAATAACAATAGCTCATCAACTCATGCTCATCTCGTAACGGAAGTTTTATTGTGAATGTATAAGGAATAGTTTTTTGTTGTTGTGTTTTGTTTTCACTAGCACCAAAACAAGTATGCATGTACATGTACTTAACGACCTACGTACATGAATTACAAACACTACTCCAGTATATGATATCACCCCTCGAGAATCTTTTTTACCGTCTCTTGATCGCCACTCAGTAATTCAAACATGAAAACTGATAAACAAGTTTATATTATTTCCATTTCTGATACACAAATGTATTTAATGATGGGCACTCTTATGAATGATAGTGATATAAACATTATACCACCAGAACGTTTTGCGGCCTGTAACTTCCATCGTTACATTATTTCGTCAGTAGTTCAAGAATGAGAATTGATTGTAATGACTGTTAATAGGTGTTTTTGGTGACGCACACATGTACATCACCTCGAAGTCTTCAGTATGTGAACTGTTCATGATAGGCTCTGACCTACTTCTTCCTATCTTAGGTAACGAGCTAAGTAATATTTCTAGTGATGATAAAATCTGAAAAAGGAACGAGAAAAATTTGAAAAATTAAGAAAAGTAAAATAATTCAAGATAGAAGTTATAATTTCCATGTTATGTGCTATTTATAACCGATTTGCAGTATATTTCACCATATTTTTACTGTTTTACTAACGCAGTATGGGCTACTTTTGCATATTTTTAACTCTTTTTGGTAATTAACATGGGTTATAAGTGCGGTTTGCCATGTGAAAATTATTTTCTTTGTCCACTTCACAATATTTTACTTTTTAAAATGTTTTAGAATTTTCTTGAAAATTAGCATAAATTTGGAGATATCCTGCTTGAACTTGCTGTAACCAAAAGTATTTAACCTTTGCCAACAGTAAAGATTTTTAGGCCAAAATACGTGCTGTCTCAATGGCCTTTTTCCATTGGAAGCTCTATTTTTCAATTCTGATAATGAAAAACCCTTAAAACTTCAGTGGTGGTTCCAAATTCAAAGCAGGGAAAATTGCACAATTTTAACATGTTAAAGGTTAAAATAATGAAGACAAACAATTCTGTAATTTTGTTACTTTGGTAGTTCAAGTAAGTTTAAACTATAAATTTCACGAGAATTTGAAAACAAATACATGAAAACAGAACAATAAAATGACCTTGCCGCAATTATTAATATCTGCCAATAAATATTTTACTATCAAACATAAAACATGATCTTAAAGTAACATAAAACTCCACTTTCCTTTTTGTTTTAAAACTTTTATTTATGAATATTTGCCTAAAAATAATTTTTATTTACCTTAATCCAAAGCATTAATAGAAATACTGAATTTCTTTAAAAACAAGCAATTATCATAGTATTGCAAGCAATCCATAAGTCCCCTACCGGTAAGAGCCCAAGCAACATTCTGAAGGGCCATTGGCCATTCACTTAGGTTCCTATTTTAAGTAAATTTGTTGAAAAAGTTCTTTAAAAGTGATCACAGGAAACAGTTTTTATGTACAGACAGACGGACTGAAGGACACTCTAAAGTTATTTTTTAAACATCCCTGTTATCAAAATAAAACATTTTTAAAGTCCTATCATGATTGAAGAAGTTGGAGTAAAAATTACCAATTTCTCAAAAAAAAGTCTAAGTTCAAAGGGGCATAATTCTCCCTAATAGTCTTGCTAGAGTATTGAACACTCACAAATGTTGAGTGACAATAAGAAACATTTATATGAAGTTTGAAGTAGATACATTCAGAAAAAGAAGTTATTAAAAAAAAATTTTAATGAAAATTTTAAGTTCAAGGGAGGTAATTCTGATAATTTTTGTGCTAGAGTTGTAAACCTTGTCACATATGATGTGGTTGATGACAAGCAACTTATATTTAAAGTTTGAAGAAAATACCTTAAGAAATAAAGAACTTATAGTGAAAAATCTTAAAAACTAGAATCAGAAATCTTGAAATTCAGTCTATTTGTTGCCATAGCAACCAGAATTTTCAACATAGGATGTTAAAAAAAGGATGTGCATAATTTCCATACTGCCATCTACCAGTATGTCAAGTTTCATAAACATATTTTCAGTACTTTTTGTGTTATCACTGGATCCAGGTTATGTGTAAAATTTGCCATATTTTCAGTCTATTTGTTGCCATAGCAACCAGAATTTTCAACATAGGAAGAATAGAAAAAGACGTGCATAATCTCCATACTGTCATCTATCCATATATCAAGTTTCATAAAAATATTTTCAGTACTTTTTGCGTTATCGCGGGATCCAGATTATGTGTAAAATTTGCCATATTTTCAGTCTATTTGTTGCCATAGCAACCAGAATTTTCAACATAGGAAGAAAAGAAAAAGACGTGCATAATCTCCATACTGCCATCTATCCATATATCAAGTTTCATTAAAATATTTTCAGTACTTTTTGCATTATCGCGGGATCCAGTTTTGTGGACGGACGGACTGACGGACGGACAGACGGACGGACGTACCAAAATTTGATGTTTATGAGGCAAATGAGCTCATAAACATCACCTGGACCAACGTCCATAAGCAAAATAAGCTCATAAAAACAAAAAAATAGCTCTTAATTTGAATTTTATGAGTTTATGTTCTTTATTTAACTACGGAATGAAGCTCATAATAATCAAATGTTGGCTCGGACTGACGGACGGACGGACAGACGGACGGAGGGTAAACCTAAAGTCCCCTCCGGTAAACCGGTAGGGGACTAAAAAAAAACAACAACAGCAACTTGGGACTGAACGGTCTGACAAAAAAGTATCTATCTGAAGTTTGAAATCATCTTTTGTTATTTACCTGTGGAAATAAGGGTCTAGTTTCTCTGTCGTATTTGCAGCAATCTTGCATGAGACGTATTAATGCCTTAGGACAGTCGTTTCGCACTTTATTCACATCTGGACTTAAATAGCCTTTACCAACCATAAATAATATCTGAAATATAAATAACATTTTTATTTTTAACCTCTTAAATCAAAACAGCAAAAGTGACTTGCCAATGACACAAAAATAGTTAAGAAAGCCAGCACTTCTGTACAGTCTGACAACACTTTCTACAGTAAGGTGCCTGACTTTACTTTTTTTCATATTAAAACTGCTTAGAATAACATAGGATGATTCAAAATTCATAGTCAGGGCTAATCCTTTTTACAAATGAAATGATAATAAGCATTAATTTTTGTTTAGTTTATAAACCAATTTTTACATTCAGCTGGTGTCATCTCTGCAGTTGGTCTGCCTAACTTTCTTTCCTGTATAACTAACAAGTAATTATCAATTTCTTTGCAAGTGATACTTATCCCACATGATTTCTAAATCAAGGTTCATTAGACAATTAAACGTTTGACTTGATGTTGCTAACATATTGTCACAGGAAAAATTCATCTCACCCTGGGATCAAACTAGTGACCCCTGGCTCACAAAACTGATGCTAAGCTAAGTGGAAGCACAATGAATGTTAAATATATGTATATTCAATATGTGGTAAATATTACATTTCCTTCAGAATGTGTGCCATACTAACAGGATTAAATGAATAAGTACTCACACAAATTACCCTTTATCTAATATACTGTAAAGCTACTGCATTGATTCAGGAGACCACAATGGAAATAACAATATTCTTTTTTTTGTGCTATCCTTAGTGTCATGGTGTGCATGTCACGGCTTATTTATTCTCATGTATGTTATGTTAAATATTTGTACCTTACATGTTGTTTTAAATGTCCATGTATATGTATTCAGTATCAAAATAAATCTATTATATACATAATACTTGAATAGAGAAATAAACGTACCTGATCTTTATTATTTATATGTGAGTATGGTAGATTGCCGGTCATGAGTTCATACAAGACAATACCAAATGCATACACGTCTGACTGGAATGTATATGGGTTCTGCTCCTGCATTCTTATCACTTCTGGGGCCTGAAATTATACAACATTGACTTATTATACATGTATCTGTATAACTCCTTTATTATACCCTTGACAATGCTGTTTTATATCCCCTTTATACATGTATAACTGACATTGATAAGCATTGTACCGTCAAATTTCGTTCGCATGAACTTGGAGGGCCTAATCAAATTTGTTCGAGAGATTGGTAGTTCAAGCCAACCGAGGTTGAACTATTATCAATTAGGACATAGGCCTAAAGGTTTTCCAGCTTTCATTGATCAAATGATAAATACCGTGCCATATTTATTTATAAGTACATTAGTTTGTCAAATAAGTCTTTTCGTGTAAATATTAACAAATGAGTATTAATGGTACACTGTGCTAAACTATACTCATGCATATTGTAATTGGTTGAGTTTGATTGGGCAAACATTTTCAAAACTTGTTGAACAATTATCAAAGTATGTTTATATGTTTATTATGGGATAAATTTTATTTCAAACAATTTATTCATTAACCAGCTGTTACTAATTCAGAACATGTCGACACGCAACTTTTGTTGTCTTTTTTGTGTTTGACCGAGGTGTGATTTTCACTATATTTCTGCCGAAGGGACCAGGGATCAGGTTTGAGTGTTTGAGCCATCGATTTTCGAGCGATCCAAGATAGAACAATATATATCATATAGAAACTTTGCTGGGACTGGGCGATGACTTCGAGCGAAAGGAGGTATTCGAGTGATCCAAGTTCAAGCCAACAATGTTTAACTGTATAATGGTTGTTTACAATATAACCATAACTGCCATATGCAAACAAACATTTATATAGGGCCTTATAACCTGTCCAAAATCTTTAAAAACTAATAATATACTAAAGTAAAAGCTTACCATCCACAATATTGAGCCTGTAGGTTGCTGAAACTGGTGTGAGCCACTCCAGCGGGTTTTCACAGTTGCTAGACCAAAGTCCCCTATCTTTACAGTTAAATCTTCTGTTAAAAATATATCTGAGAATATGGTTAAGGAAAACTAAATAAATACTACCATATCAGACCAAATTTTGAAATTGAAATTTGATTGTAGTACTTGATAGAAAAACAAGCACCTGGATAATGTAGAATACTTCTAGGTTCAAAATGGGTCATAATTCTGTCAAAATCAATCTTAAGCGTTATGGGCCTTGGAAAGTGACCTCCTATTATGATTTCAATAAGAGTGTTTAGTTTCAGTGCATTCTCTTCAGTAGTTTTGGAAATACCAACTTGAAACGCAGCAAGAGCTGTCGGTAGGACAGCAACGCTCGACTATTTTTAGTGCTTGATAGTAAAAAAAAATGCTCGATACAGTTACCTCCTCCTGTTTACAGGTTGGGGTAATGATGGTGAACAAGTGTGCAAAGTTTCAAAGCCATATGTCAATGAACTTTGAAAATATTTGAGGTATTACAAAAACTTTAACATAAATTCTAAGTCGAAAAAGAGGCATAATTCTGTCAAAATGCTTGATAGAGTTACCTCCTGCTGTCTACAAGTTGGGGTAATGATGGTGAACAAGTGTGCAAAGTTTCAAAGCCATATGTCAATGGACTTGGAAAAAATTTAAGGTAATACATAAAGTTTAACATAAATTCTAAGTCGAAAAAGGGGCATTATTCTGTCAAATGCTTGATAGAGTTACCTCCTCCTGTCTACAGGTTGGGGTCATGATGGTGAACAAGTGTGCAAAGTTTCAAAGCCATATGTCAATGGACTTTGAAAATATTTGAACTATTACAAAAACTTTAACATAAATTCTAAGTCGAAAAAGGGGCATAATTCTGTCAAAATGCTTGATAGAGTTACCTCCTCCTGTCTACAGGTTGGGGTCATGATGGTGAACAAGTGTGCAAAGTTTCAAAGCCATATGTCAATGGACTTTGAAAATATTTGAACTATTACAAAAACTTTAACATAAATTCTAAGTCGAAAAAGGGGCATAATTCTGTCAAAATGCTTGATAGAGTTACCTCCTCCTGTCTACAGGTTGGGGTCATGATGGTGAACAAGTGTGCAAAGTTTCAAAGCCATATGTCAATGGACTTTGAAAATATTTGAACTATTACAAAAACTTTAACATAAGTGGTTACGCCGACGCAGACGCCGACACTGACGCCGACGCTCGGGTGACTGCAATAGCTCTACTTATTCTTATCGAATAGTCGAGCTAAAAATGCAACAAAATTGTGACACTAATGCCGATACTTTGGTGAGTCTATTCACTTAATGGTTAAGCTAAAAATCAAAATTGATGTACAGGTAAAATTTGCTTCACTGTATAAACATAATAAAGGATACTATTTGATTTGAGATCTCTGTGAATTATGGACTTCGCATGGAGGTAGCTGAAACAGAATAAAATATTTGTAAAAGTTATTAGTACAGACATTAACTTTTTAATCTATTCAACCATTTCAGTACAATCTGGAAAATCCTGTATTAATAAAGACATGTAAAAAAATAAGACCACAGATTTTACTAATTTGAGTACCTCTTCAGTAAAGGAAAACAAAGTAACCCTGTCTATCAACAAACATTTTCAACCACAATAGAGGTCATATGGTGACTTTGAAGCTTTCCTGGTGGAGGAAGACTTTAGGTGCCCTCCAGTGCATTATTTCAGGCACAAATGGGCACGTAAGTAGAACCACTAACGTTCTGAGGCTAGCTGTATAGCTTCCTCACATGACAGAAGTACCAAACTGGATTCAAAACCAGTGATGAGGGGAAGAGTGGTTTGAAGTCAACAACCTTAACCACTCGACCATGGACGCTCCCACACAATCAATTAAAAAATCAATTTAAAATCAATTTAAAATCATTTTACTTAATTAAGTTAATTTGTTTATAACCATGCTTCAATAGAATAAGAACTTATTTAAAACCTTATTGACAACCGTGCTAAACTTACCCTACACTCTACAGAGTCTGCTCTGTAAATATAACTTTCAAGTACTTGTTTTGCAATTAAGCACCAACAAATGTTAAAACTTACAAAATCAGCATTCTATAAACTGTATACTTACTCCATGCCGAGAGCTGTTTGTCTACCTATCTCTAGGAGACCTAACATCTCAAACTTGATATCATCAACATGTAAATGTTTATACAGACTCGAACCTTCACACCATTGTGTTATGATTGCTAATTGTGGTTTAGACGTACAACCCATAAATAATAAAACATTTAAATGTCGAGTTTTTCTGAAAAACAAAAGAAGAATAAACAATTAAATCAACACATATGATAAAGATAATCAAAAAAATTAACAAATATGCTAAAGTTGACCAGAAAAATTAACAAATTATGCTCAAGGTGGCAAGAAAAAAAACACACATATGACAAAGTGGGCCAGAAAAATCCACATATTTGCTAAAGTTGGCCAGAAAAATCAGTCCATATGCTAAAGTTGGCCAGAAAAATCAGTCCATATGCTAAAGTTGGCCACATAAAATATTGATATAAATAAACATAGGCTGGCAAAAATATACCATAAAAAATCCATATATAATTCAGATAAATGTATGACATGCAATTTTATCCAGTACAAATTTATTGGAAAGCAAAACTTGATTTGGACAGATCTGATATTCTTTAGTCAATATAATTTGTCAGTTAGTGACCTTACATGTATAATGACATTAAACAATGCAGCTTTCTAATTTCTATTTCTGCATGTTATCGGCACAAATGCAAGTGCATTAACTCAGCTGGCACATCTGAGCCGATTTTGACCATTGTCTGTTCTATTTTGCTATTTGGATAATACTGTGATAAGGATTAATTAGACTTGAAATACCTATATATGATCAACTCTGTACTCGAGAAGAAAAAAAGTCACTGAAAAAAACATTGCTTAAGGAAGATATTATAATAAACTGAGCCATGTCATGACAAAACCAACATAGTGCGTTTGCAACCAGCAGGATCCATGCTGTTCGCTTACAAACCCTATAGCAAGTAGAGAAACTGATAGCGAACAGCATGAATCCTGATCAGACGGCGCGGATGCGCAGGCTGGTCTGGATCCATGCTGGTCGCAAACCCATTATGTTGGTTTTGTCATGACGCGGCTCAAATGGTCGATGGGCAAGTCCCTGTAAGATATATAGCATGGTAAGGGCTAATAAATATTAAAATACCTGAAGGGATCAATTCTATGCACTAGAAAAAAAAAATCATGCACAAAACATTGCTTAAGGAAGATATTATAATAAACTATACCTTAAAACAGCAACTTCATTTTTAAAGGCCTGTAACTGTGCAGGTGTTGGGTTAGTAACATTGAGCCTTTTCACCGCCACTGCTCCGTGCCAGTGACCCTTAAATACCGTCCCAAATGAGCCGGACCCTATCCGAGGACCAAAAATTATTTCTTCATTTGGAATCTCCCAATCTTCATTAGAATCTCTCCAACCTCCCTGAAATGTAATTCATGAATGAGAGTAAGAAGTCTGAATCAATTCTTTATTCCAGATATATTAAATTTATTCGATTAATTTGATGGTAAATTTCATGAATTTGGTTGAATTGATAATTTATTTATAGGTTGGTTTGTCAGTTTTGCAATATAAGTGCTTTAAATTCTGGCTACTTTCCACTTTTACTGGCAGAAGGAATAACTTGTGAACTTAATTGTAATTATTTTACATACAAAATGATTGATAATTATAATCTGTAATGCTTAAATCTAACATAGGTATTCTATTTTGTTTTGTTTTGTTCATGTGACATAGTTACACTGTATAATTTCAGACACAAGCAGGGACTTGAGTAGAACCATTAGCTTATTTAAGCTAGCTAGATACTTTCCACATACATCCCTGACAAAATTCAAATATATAGCAATTACGGGGCAAATGAGTTGCACTCTCATATATTATTAAACCTATAAAAATAAGTTTACCGTTCTCCTCCCGGGGTCTGTCTCGACTGATCGCGCTCGTGGCCGTTGTTTACCAACAGTTGTTGGAGAATGATTAGTGCTATCTGTAGGGCTACCGGCAGGACTGTGACTTGACGTCCGACCTGGCAAATTTAACGTATTACTGTGCTGACCTGTAATAAACATCCCAAATATAAGATATTACATAAAACAATCTTAAATGACTAGATAAACAGTATTTCTTCTCAAATATGTGCCCTCACGACATTGTCAACGCAACATTGACATGATCATCATCCTGAAATGTCAATGTAGTGATGTTCCAGTCTTTTCATCAAAAATAATAAAAAAAAATTTTTTTTATAATTATCAATAATATAATTATGTAATGTAGAAATATCTCAAAGAAAAATTACCTCTCTTTCTATTACACTTATGATTTATTAAGGCAACTTCAGGCCTTCATAACACGCGGTCAAAAAAAGTTAAAATTTCTGCAGTAAATAACTATATAGATATATAAATCTAAACAAATAAGTGTTGTTGTTGTTATTCAATTGTGTTGACAAAATAAGATAATATATTTCCTGCCATGTTCTCTAGATATGAATTATGACAAAAACATTTTTTTTCAAACATGCTCAAATTGTTTTTTTTTCAACAGCAACTGCTCATTCCACTGCTTCAAAAACTAAATTAAAAAAAATTTGTAAAATATCTGGGTTCTGCAGTCAGAAAAGACAAGCAATCATGCCCAGCAGAATGTTCGTGTGGCTAGATGTGGAGTTGGTGTGGCCTGAATGTTGGTGTGGCTAGATGTGGACAATGTTGGTGTGGCTAGATGTGGAGAATGTTGGTGTGGCTAGATGTGGAGAATGTTGGTGTGACTAGATGTGGAGAATGTTGGTGTGGCTAGATGTGGAGAATGTTGGTGTGGCTAGATGTGGAGAATGTTGGTGTGGCTAGATGTGGACAATGTTGGTGTGGCTAGACGTGGAGAATGTTGGTGTGGCTAGATATGGAGAATGTGGTGTGGCTAGATGTGGACAATGTTGGTGTGGCTAGATGTGGAGAATGTTGGTGTGGTTAGATGTGGAGAATGTTGATGTGGCTAGATGTGGACAATGTTGATGTGACTAGATGTGGAGAATGTTGGTGTGACTAGATGTGGAGAATGTTGGTGTGACTAGATGAGGAGAATGTTGGTGTGGCTAGATGTGGAGAATGTTGGTGTGGCTAGATGTGGAGAATGTTGGTGTGGCTAGATGTGGAGAATGTTGGTGTGGCTAGATGTGGAGAATGTTGGTGTGGCTAGATGTGGAGAATCAAACTGAGGAGAAACATGAATGTTAGTACATCAACACATTCTCTGAACAGGAAATAAAAAAGTTGTCACAAATTGTTAGTATTATTACACCTGGGGATGAAAAAGAGTAAATCAGTAAACAGTTATTATTTTCAAGGGAATTTCAATACATTTTGTGACTAATTTTCAAAAATAAAAAAAATAAATGAAAGCTGTCATAGAAATTATAAAATTGGTCTAAAAGTATATTTTAGAATGGGATAAAAGAGCCATAACTCTGTAAAACTTACATGATAAAGAGTAATTCATTCTAAATGTTTGTATATTTATATCGTTGTTGATTTACAATTAATGAAATCTTTATAAAGATTATATAATACATGCAGTAATATTATGATTGCCAAGAATTTACACAGTAAATATATTATTTTTTGGATGAAATATCAACAAATAAAGACATAGCTAAGTTTTTCCTCAGAATCTAAGGATTGTTTTTTTGTTGGAGAGTAGAACTTGAACTTACTAGTCAGTCGCTTATACATGTACCTGATAATCTATTATGTCATTTCAAAATTTGAAACTCAGATTTATTTTAACTTATCACTATTTCCATAAACAATACCAGTTCCTACATACAACTATAATCATACTGGCCAAAAAGGGCCATTCAGCATAGCAAATAATTAAAACCAAACTCACTCATAATTTACAGCTTTTATCAATCAAAGGGTTCTAGCTTTAGAACACGCCAGTGGCTTGCATGCAATAAGCAATAAAGCACTGGTATAAACTTAGGTTCACACCTGCTCTAACCCGCAACCCTGTCTATGTTTAGAGTCACACAGGGAAGTGAAAAAAAAAATGCTATGCGCAAATGAGGAAAAAAACATAAGGGATAACGATAGAACAGTCGTAAGTGATAGTAAAGTTTTGTTATTTGGAAGGGGGTCACACCATTCTACCTTTATACAACGCTCGGTGAGGGACAATTTTTGTGCAACTATCGCTTGCATGGCGCTTATCTTTGTACATTGGGTATCTGTACGGGGCGGCCTGGGCTGAAATCATATTACTAGATCTTTACAGCTACTTCTCATCTTTATGACCTAGATATTGACCTTTATAGCTACCTAAACTATTTATAGCCTTTTTCTGTTTGTTAAATATGCATGCAGACCTATCATAAACTATAAATCCAATGTCTGAAAATTGCGTCAGCAAAAAGAAATTGATTCTCTGGCTCAGTTGTATTGAGTATAATGTTTATTTGTTTATAAGCCATTGGTTACAAGTTCAAATCCCACATTGAGCAAGTTATTGTTACAATTGCAAATTTACATCCTTCTGTTACAAATTTCAGAAGTTCATAAGATTTGTAGTTTTACAAAATCTGTTACCCAGACATTTACCTTTGCTTATAAAACCTTTTTCAAAAACTTTTTTTACGACTTAAATATTCTTTACATCTCCTGATTTCCTTTATAACTGAAGAAACCTTTTAATTTTCACAGCTATACATAACTCTTTCTAAGTATACAATTACTCTTTATAGCTATAAACAAGATTAACAAGAAATTAGATTAATATGAGGAATATACATGCTGGTTGTGATAATGGATATATATACAGAAAATATATATATATTTTGTAATGGTTTATATGATTGTTTGTTTAATTGGGTTTCTATTAGATCAACACAGTATAGATCATATAGCCACTTTCCAGCTATACTGGAGGGAGACCTCGGGTGCACTTCCATGCATCATTTAAGGCAAGAATAGGCACCTGAGTAGAACCTCCAATGTTCCATAAGCTAGCTGGATAGCTTCCTCAGATGTAAGAAATTAAAGTCTCTGTTGGGATTCGAAACCACAGCATTTCAAGTTTGTATTTAACAGTTTTATTAATCATTTAGAAAATAAGAACAGAGAAGAACATTGTCATAAATATAAGTTTTTTTTTTATTTTAATAGTGATCAAAGTATTCTTAATATGACCTTGGAGAGATGAAGCCAAAAATAGCTAATAGTTTGGTTAAACTTGAAAGTAACCATAACCAGACCATGACCTTTAATGTAAGCCCCTATCATACAGTTTTAAATATATTCTTGCCATATTAAACATATTATTACATTTGTATACTGCTGATGAAACTTTAAAGTGAATTGGCCTATAATGGAAGGTCTGTTATACAATAATAGCAAAGATAGTATTTTGGTCTCAGACTGAACAACAAACCATGAAATAATTATAAAATGGATTTTGTTGGCAAGTGTGAAATACATGATTTGATATTTCATATATTTATATAGCAGATGATAAAATGTTCTAAAATAAAGTATTATTTTTCATTATATAAATGTTCATTCTAAATCACTTAAGTACTGTATCAACATTTTGTTTTCAAGCAATATCATATAAGAATACCCAAATTATACATTTTTAAAATATGTTTTAAATCAATATTTGAAATTATGGAAAATATGCCCATAGTAGACAAATTCAGTTAAATGATGGACTCAAGGTTATCCTTTGATGAAAACCTATGATCGAATGCTTTATGTAGCCAATACAATTTATCTTGACATTCACAGTTTATGAAGTTAGCAGTCTGCAGATAAAGCAGAAAATTATTTTTTATTCATTTTGTACTTGTTATGATTATTTCATTAGTTTTCCTTTATAATGTCGCAAGAATGATTAAAATTTTATGCAACAATTGTTTCATACAGTATGAAACTGTGTTCCCTTGACAAGGGCAGTTAATGTACCATGTAAAATAAGATCACAGTGTATAACCTGTAATGTAAATGATTTTGCAATAGCTATTTTTATAGTAACTATTCAGCAGTGTTATATTCTTCACAAATCCTACATGGTCCTAAAAATAATCCTATACATCCTTAAGTGCATTACTTTGCAGATAATTATGAAGATTTTTTTGAAAATTACATTAATATACATTTACAAACTTTTCAGAACAGCTCATAAATTGTATACAAAAAACACTTTTTTAAATTTTCTTCAATACAGCTGATAATCAAAATTGGATAATACATTTCATTAGCAACATTAAATCTAAATGACAAGAAATAAAATTAAGATTTAGCACCATATTCCATGTGTCAACTGCACATCTGTATTACCAGTTAGACACAGTGGAGACCATGGTGTAAGCATGTTCTTACCTTGCTGATTTGTAGAGGCCTCGTAAGCTTGCTGTAACTGTTGTCGCACATCCTACAGTAAAACACAAACAATTTACATAAGACACACTGATCTATTGTTTGAAAAAGCATGTTGAGAACAAAATTCATTTTGGTACAGAGAGCTATTGTTGAAATAAAAAAAGATAAAAACAACAAAATTCTTCTTCTAAATATTCTAGTATTTATATTAAATACAAATTTTTAGTTATTTTTAAAGAAAAAAGATTTTGAACATATTTAAAAAGCAAGACATTTGATCATTATCATTATAAATGATAATTAATTATCTTGATTTATATTTTAAAACCGAGTTTTAACATGTCAGAGAAATTATTTTAAACTTTACTTATCTGATAGGATATATTATATCCTGTAATTTTATTACTTAGTTTAAGAAATTGAAAAAAATTTAATGTCGCTGAAATAGAACGCAAAAATATTTATTATACAATGAAACACCCAGTCATATGCCAATCACATTATTAGTAAACTTTAACAGAATGTTCTAATAACTGTCAAATAATTGGTAACTATTGTAGAGCCTATTGTGCAAGAGAAATTTCTAGCCATGAAAAAGTAATTTCTAGTCATGTAAAAGAAATCTCTAGCCATGTAAAAGTATGTTCTAGCCATTTAACAAATACATGTACATGAAAGTTAAGTATTATCAATTTTCCCCTAGCGTTATAATGATTCATTATTAGTACTTAATATCATCCGACTCTTAATGCCTTTTTTTAAAGGGAACTGTTGTAAGTAATCTCATGTAATATAGTCACAATTTTTGTGCACCAACACAATTTAGGTCATATGGTTCCAAAACAGGAAAGATTATTTTGGCTAACCTCAGGTGTTACAAACTTAAAGCAACACCATGGGTCAAAACCACCTTATCTGCCGGAGCTAAGAGATACATTATTATTTGGAAACTGGCCTGACATCAATTGTGTTTAAAAACACAACCAACACCTATGTAAGTCAATTCTGAATATCATTTATTTAATGCCTGGCTTTTATCCAAAAAAAAAATAACTTTATAAAAAAAATGTTTATAACATGTTTATACATGATAACAATACAAAACTAACCATCAATACCTACATCATTCCAGCCAATACCATACTTATAATGAAACTAACATCAACATCATGCACAAGTCAATTGTTTTAAACCAGAGCAGTGCCAGAGATAGCAGCAAAGATGAGCCGAGTTTTAACTTTTGGGATCAAGGTAAATTACGTATTTGTTTTAGATTCCCTATAGCAGGGTATATTTCAAATTAAATATTTACTACCTGACTGTCCCAGTTGGCTGGGGGTCTTTACAGGGACTATGAATTTTGAAAAATTTTAAGACTAAGTCACTGCTATTCCCCTTAAGGTGGAGCGGCCGGTACCACAATTGACCAGTGCATTATACAGAAGTCGGTTATAGCCAATACCACCACCATTTCTGCTAGAACTAGGTTAGTTTCTTTTTTTAATAACATTATTTTCTATGTAATACAAAATATTAAAACAATGATTAAATTTTAACTTTTACAGACAAGCATAGCTATAGAGATAAACCTGTGCCAACTGATTTATGTAATAGACCCCGTTTATTTGAAATTTTTAGCTTCAAAAATATCAACATGAAATATAAAAACTTTTCAGCATATAACAGAAAAGACCCTGGTCAGGCATAGGTTGTGCAGGCCAGCCTGACTGTATAATGTTGATGTTTATAGTTCTACCTGTCCCCTTAGTTCAATAATTGGTTATCTCCTATTAAATTTAGAAGGACTTAACCCATTACTGCACACAGGTGACATACTATAAACAATAACCAAAGTGCTTCAACAAAACTGACTTTTTGTACATAGAGTCAATGATTTCATACAATATATAATTATATACAAAACTATACAGGAACAGATCAAGGCTATACCAGTGCCAAGATGCAATCTAAAGAAACAAAATGCACTCCGTGCTAGAAGTAAAATACATTTTATGCTAATATGTTTTCAACGGAAACAAGAAAATAACAACATCTAACAAATGAATCAAAAACATAGGAACCAATTACAAATACAAAAAAAGCTGATTTTCCTATGTTAAAACAAACTTTTAGTTGATATAAATTTTGATATGTTAATGACTTTAGTAAAATGATTTATTTCATTTATATACTTCTCTTTATTCATTTTTTCTTCTTTGGTTTTAAGTAACACACCAACGCTATAAAGGTCATATGGCAACTGTTCAGCTTTATTGGTGGATAAAGACCTCAATTGCCCTCCATACATTATTTTAGTCATGAGCAGACACCCAAGTAGAATCACTGACCCCCGATCTGTAAGTTAGTTGGATAGCTGCCTCACATACAGAAATCATAATCCCTGGCAAGATTCTAACCAAAAGGGTTGCGAGGCAAGTGAATTGATGACAGCAACTTAAACCACTTAGCCACAAAGACCTTTTAATGTACAAGTTCAACTTACTGATTGTTGAAATTATGTTACTAATATAAGTAATATGTCACGTAAAATTTACATAAATATGGTCATTTTTTTAAATTCACACTGATTAATGTAAAGGCAACTTTAGCCGAAATTTTCTTGAAGTTTTCCAGATTAAAGATGGAGGTCACTCCTACCTTTGTACACTAAACAGTACCATAGGTGAGACACTTATATATGCAATAATTATGAACACAAAACCCCTGAATTCATATTTGTTTGGGGGGTTTATTTTGCAAAAATATCTGAATTTTCTATTTGACTTTGTAAAAACTCCTGAATTTTCAACATGTTTTTTATAAAAATTTCTGAATTTTCTATGCATGTTTATCAAAATTCCTTATTTCTTTTTGTGGTGTTCTTTGTGTTCTTTTTTTTTTGTAAAGAATTTTGAATGTTACAATATTATACATTTTTCTTATAAACAATCTAGTTATCAATTAAACAACTTTAAAATATTAATAAAAGTGGATCAAACAATCAACACAGGGTAAATCTTTAAGGTGTGTTTATACAGATAAAGCAAAATATAAATATATAAAACTAAACTAAATACATGTACACCCATAATGCAAGTTATCTACAACTCTAATATCGTATCAACCAATATTATATACATGTACAACATAGCACTCAGGGACTAGAAACAAACAAACAACTAAAATAATGTACATTTTCATCAACAACATCCACATGCAGAATTTATATTGGTGCCACTCAGAGTTTATAGAAAGAGATATACAATTTGTACAACCAAAATAATGCTCACAGGAGGGGATCCAGTAAAAAAAGACAGGTGGTAAAATTATAAAAATAAAATTTCAAACAAAATCATAAACAAAATATAGTAATTTTCCAGGTAATTATGGAATATCTAAAGAATTACCATTCCAAGTTGTTTTGTGTATATATTCAACCCAAGGCTTGAAACATTACAAGATCTGATATGTTCTTATTATTTGTATATGTTTTTATGCATTAACTCATCTTTCATACAGACTTACTTCTATTTTTAACCAGACCTGTTTGAGGAGCAGCACGCTCCATTTTTCTCAGTTCTGTATTATAGTTAACTTCACTTTTTCTAAATATAGATATAATTAGAATAAAAGGTCACACAGACCTTGATCTTTGACCTTTATCTACCTTTGTTAAATAAAGTGTTTATTTTCATAGACCTGAAAATTGGTGTCAGGTAGAACTCATCAAGTTTCAATATCATATTCGAAATTATTGATCATTAACAAGAACTTGATAACATTTTGACCTTGACCTTTGGACCCAAAATGAGTATGACAGGTAGGATGCACCAAGGTCCATCTACATACAAAGGTCAGAATGCACTCCAATAACAGGTTCCAGTGACCTTCACCTTTGTCATTTTATAGGGGCATAGTTAAAATATAAGCACTGCTACAATAACATAATAACTATGCCCCTATAAATTGACAAGATTTACTTGAACTTGCGCTAAATTTCATTCTATCTCCTACTTAAACTAAACATGAAGATTTCAAAAAATATTTATTCTGGTTATAAGACAAAGAATGTAAAACTTCTGTTGTTAGTAAATTAACTTTCTCTGTCAAGTGACCTGACAATAAATTAACAAATTTTTAGTTGAAGTTTAATCGTTTTCCTTGATTGATTTGCCACAGGAACTTGTTCAGCTTTGACTTAAACAGTCCAATAAATACATTGCTATTCAGTCAGTACTTATTTTAAAAGTTTCCCTAGAATTGGTGAATTGTTTTGTTCAGATTGAAAGATGGACAAGTCCATTTAAAATATTTAGCGTGGTAAGGGTGCAGTGATATTAAGAAACATTTACTTAAACATTAACAGGACTAAGATATCAATGAGGCTTTCAAACGTCTGAAGGTTTTATCAAAATTCCCTTTCGTGCAAAGGAAACTTTGAACTTTCCCCTTTCCTGCTTTGACTCTTTGTGACCACTAATCAATATCAGTGAGGGGAAACTACCTTCATGACTGGGATAATACTTTTGTGGAAAAAAATTCTTAATAAATGTTATAATAATAATATGTGAAGAATATTGTATAAGATAAATTATGAACTTTTCTGTGAAGCGCAATATAAAATTTCATCAAATCAACACAGTGCATAGGTTTTGTGAACAAAAAAGATAACATTTGTGATCATGTGAAAATTGAATGATATATAAAAAGGAAAACATTGGTGAATATGTGAAAGTTGAATCTCAAATAATAAAGTGATTGTTCACCATTATGTTGTCAGATTACAATTTTCTTTGTGACGAAACCTTTGTATAATGAACTTATCTTCATCTGTTTAACCCACTTTGCTCATTTGTCTGGGTTTATAATACATTTTTGGGGTTCTATATCAAAAGAGTATCTAACCGGCTTTCCTGGATAAACAAGCAATTATCATAGTATTGCAAGCAATCCATAAGTCCCCTACCGGTAAGAACCCCATCAACATTCTGAAAGGCCATTGGCCATTCACTTATGTTTCAATTTTTCTCTATTTTAAGTAAACTTGTTGGAAAAGTTCTTTAAAAGTGATCACAGGAAACAGTTTTTATGAACAGACAGACAGACGGACTGAAGGACACTCAAAAGTTAATATTTGAAACATCCCTGTTACCAAAATATAACATTTTAAAAGCAGGAGGAGATAACTCTTGAATTAAAGATGCAATTTCATAAAAATTTTCAGCTCTTTTTGACTAATCACAAATATTGTTATATTTGCCATGTTTTAAGCCTATTTGTTGCCAAGGCAACTGATATTTTTTCAAAATAGGAAGAACAGATAAAACATGCATAATCTCAACACTGCTATCTACCCATATGTCAAGTTTCATAAAAATATTTCCAGTACTTTTTGAGATATCACTGGATTCAGTTTATGTGTAAAATTTGCCATATTTTCAGTCTATGTGTTGCCATAGCAACCAGAATTTTCAACATAGGAAGAAAAGAAAAAGACGTGCATAATCTCAAGACTGCCATCTACCCATATGTCAAGTTTCATAAAAATATTTCCAGGACTTTTTGCTTTATCACTGGATCCAGTTTATGTGTAAAATTTGCCATATTTTCAGCCTATTTGTTGCCATAGCAACCAGAATTTCAACATAGGAAGAAAAGAAAAAGACGTGCATAATTCCAAGACTGCCATCTACCCATATGTCAAGTTTCATAAAAATATTTCCAGTACTTTTTGTGTTATTTATGTGTAAAATTTGCCATATTTTCAGCCTATTTGTTGCCATAGCAACCAGAATTTCAACATAGGAAGAAAAGAAAAAGACGTGCATAATTCCAAGACTGCCATCTACCCATATGTCAAGTTTCATAAAAATATTTCCAGTACTTTTTGCGTTATTTATGTGTAAAATTTGCCATATTTTCAGCCTATTTGTTGCCATAGCAACCAGAATTTTCAACATAGGAAGAAAAGAAAAAGACGTGCATAATTCCAAGACTGCCATCTACCCATATGTCAAGTTTCATAAAAATATTTCCAGTACTTTTTGCGTTATCACTGGATCCAGTTTATGTGTAAAATTTGCCATATTTTTAGCCTATTTGTTGCCATAGCAACCAGAATTTTCAACATAGGAAGAAAAGAAAAAGACGTGCATAATCTCCATACTGCCATCTATCCATATACCAAGTTTCATAAAAATATTTTCAGTACTTTTCAAGTTATCGCGGGATCCAGTTTTGTGGACGGACGGACTGACGGACTGACAGACAGACGGACGGACGGACAGACGGACAGACGGACGGACAGACGGACAGACGGACGGAGGGTAAACCTAAAGTCCCCTCCGGTAAACCGGTAGGGGACTAAAAACCAGTTATTAACAATTTCACAACAAGTGACTCAACTTGTCCCACATGATTTCTGAATCACCAGTAATAGACAAATGACTTAATGTTAGACCCAGAGAAATTTTGCCTCGACCAAGGATCAAACCAGCCACCCTTTTTAATTACTGATGTGATGTTCTCCCAACTGAGCTAAACAGGCAGATGACTTTTTCTTCTACTTATAATATATTAGGGATTTCAATATTAAAATGGTAATTCAACTGTACAGAGACTTGTGAGACTGATGTGCAAAGTTCTATACTGGTGTTATAAAGCAAGTTTAAATTAAAAAGATTTCTTCATCAGAATCTCTCTATACTATTTGTTTCATACAGACTAGTCAAGAATCTGACAATATAAAGGGGGAACAACTCATATCAGGATTATTGACATTGTGTGCAAAGGCTTCAGTGAGGGTAAAAAAATAATATTTAAATATATTTTGCATAAAAACCTAGGGTTGAATATATACATGTGAAATTTGTTCTAGGAGAGGAAGTTGATTTAGAGAAGATTACACTGTAGGTCACGTGACCTGCCATGTGAGCACCTACCTCTTTTGCACCTGGCAAATTAACGTCCGGTGCAGATAGCGATTTTTCTGCCATCATGAAGTTAATCGGTTCAATGTAAATCCTAGGATAGTGTCTAAATTGTACGGGAACAAAAGAGAAACCAAAAACACAAGACGATGATTAAGGTGTTTTGTAAAATGACTAGACTCGATTAAACCAATTGTGTGTGTGTGTAAACTTTGCATATCTTACACCACTATATATAAATGTACATCATTCCACTGTGCCTGAACAACACTGCATCAGCAATTTAGGTGCCGGATAAAAAAAACACCAGAAATAAAAACACATCCAAAAATAACACATAGGGCATCGAGAGGTGTTTGGAAAACACCAGCAAAAATTAATGACATTCAACACAACAATCAATCTGTCTATCACGTGATTCATCCAAGCTAGTTAAACTATCTCAAATATATATACATGTAACAACACTTGATACTACTTATTAATCAATGACAGGGAAGAATTTTTTTTCCGATTACATTGTACTTAAAAATTTGGGGAAAAATCTTTACTTTTCAAGGTACCTTATGAAACTGTCAAAGCACTATTTGATAATATGAATAATTTAACTTTTAAACAATTAAAAGTTCCATAACTCATGCTACAAATGAATGGCTTCAATTCACCTCAATAAGAAATTAATTTGAGATATTGTAAAAACAAAAATAACACTGAACATTTTTAAAATAGAAATTAAACATTGTCTAGGCTAGCTTTTTTTTCATGATCAGGTATCTAAGGTGTTGTTACTTGTACATGATAAGAAAACAAACAAGTGCGTACACGACAGCACTGTACATTAACTTCACATAGCAATAGTCAAATAAATATACCTTGAAAACTTCTCATTTTATTTCAAATCTTATTTCTATTTCTAAATTTCTAAACCGTCAAATGAAATAATTCAAAAGAAGAAAAAAAACGGAATCCCTCAAGAACGCCCAAAACAGCAAAATTTAAAATGCTGCCGGCTCGCTTTACTTAAGTCTGTTCATTCACGGTATTGAAAAGTGCAAGCGACCTTAACCCCCACATCCCCCCCCCCCCCCCCTCATCCCCCTAACATTTGCTTCAGTGTTCAACATTTAACATGAAGTGGTAAAATTTTTAATTTAGAAACATCTGCAGATATGTTCAAAGTCTGGTTTTATTTATATACTGGTATATACAGTATAAGAATGAGATGTTTTCAAGAACAATAACTCCTACTGTACAATGTTAGCATATTAGTCTGGTTAGCTGCAATATAATACATCATATTCCAGTGTATACTTCATACATACAAAACTCCATTTTAATAAATCACATTCTGTAAAACCTTATATCTGTATTATATGATTTCATAAACAAAATATTTACTAGCTTTGGCCTAGGACATATTAGTTATCAAATTTAGTCTAGGGCAATGGTTGTTATTAGATTTGGCCTAGGCCCTGAGATTAATTTTTTTTATTCTTATTAATAGATCATAAAACCAATATCAGCCTAGCGATGGACTTCTTTACATTGTATTTCTTTTCTAGATTTTATGAAGTGGGGACACAAAGGGGTATAGGCACTAAAAGTTGAACTTTAACTTAATGTCAAAGTTGTATTGAAGTTTTATACATTATAAAGTTACACTGGAATACTTATTCAAACACCTGTAAAACAATAGATGTTAAAACAAAGCTAAGTGCATATCTATGAGGGCATCAAGCTGCAAGTTCTTGCATATAAATATACGTGTAACTGGTGTTTCCGTGAACTGTAATACCCGATCATTCACCGACACATTAAAACTTTCGCCTGAGCAGGCATTATACCATTCATTGGCATAAGTGATCTTTTTTATTATAAAAACTGTATGTTGTAAATCAAATAAAAGAGTGGTATAAAAATTTTTTAAAAATACACGCTGTATATGATATGTTATGTCACAGATTCACCAGTTACAGACTATATGACATTTACTAGTACAGCTGTGCTGGGGACGGGGTTTTATGACCGATACCCGGCTTCACAACATACCTCCTCTGTGGTACCCGTATTTACAAAGCTAACATTAGGTGCCGACGTAGATCTGCCTCTCTGTACAAGAGGTGGCGTCTGCCGATTGGCAAACGGTCGTGAGGAGGGCTGAGAAAGGGTGGCATTTTGGTATGATGAAAGTAACATGCTTGAGTGACCAAAACTGTCCGCTAGTAAACTGAAACATACAGCAACAGTTGTTAACGGTGATACTGAAAACACTCGTGTGAATATATTAATCAAAACATAGCCGTTACCATTATAATTAATTAACTGGTTTAAAATTATACTACAAAAGCTATTGTTTTTAAAGTTAAACTTTTTTAAATTTCTCTGTGTGTTAAATGAACCTTACAATAATAAATGTTTAAAATGACGATGACCTCTTTATTTCTTGAACATTCTCTAAAAGATTCACCAAGAACTATTAAAACGAAATAATTCCGAATCAAATTGATAATATGTTCAAATATTCTAAATCTATGTATGTTTAATTTATCAAAGCTATATTGTTGTTAAAACCAAAACACTTTCTTTTTGGAGAACATATCCTAAATATTCCATAAAAATCTGTAAAAAGTTCTTGAAACAGTTAAAATGGGTTTAACATTTTTTTTTGCGCAAGAAGTTTTTTATTTCTTTTCTATTTTTTAAGATAATACTTCATCTACATAAGAGGTTGCTGCAATTTAAAATTGTCAGTATTCTTTTCTCCACAATTAAAAATCAACTTCTCTCCACATTGTTTTTCTATCATTGACTTAGAAAACATTTGTAGTGTAAGGATTCCTACTCAATATGTCCTGCTATTAAAAAAACTCCATGTCATCAAAAAATTAGATCTTGTTTTTACAGCTGGGTTTTAATCAAATTCTAAAATTTACGAAAATTTATGAAAATACAAAATGATAATATAATGCAACCAGTTGGTATTATGTAACAACAAACTGAATGTTTTCTAATGAAATATAACAAGATATTAGGAGTGTAAACATGTGTAGCCACCAGAACCTGTGGTAAAATATAAACATGGTTAATTTAACATATCAACATTAAACAAGTCAATATATAAACAAAACTTGTGGCAACAAAATATGAACACAACTTTTAACAATAACGTGATAACCTGGTACATGTTGGGCAGAGTTTTTTCCCTCTCTCTCCAGACACTTCTAACTTTATATAATTCTGAACGACAATTTCTGGCTTATTAATTAATATCTTATCATCACAATTTTGATCTTCAGCTACATTTTTCAAACTCATTTTCTGAAACACAAGCCAAGAAATCATTTGTAGAATTGATTCAATTTTGTGTAAATAATTTTTACCTCTTAAATCATATCATTTTTAGGAAAGCATTACTTAAAGCATTTCCAAAATTGTTTTTCTAATTTCTAGGTTTACAATAGCTACCTGTCGCAAAAAGATACCAAAATTACAATAATATGTTCTAAAAAGGGAAAATAAATCCTGGAGAAAATTAATCCAAGGGAAAATATATCCTGAAAAGAAATTACCGTTTAAATGTAACCACTATTATGCTTGTTAAAATTTGTGTTCATATTTGTCATAGAAATACAGTAATAATTCTTACCCACTGCAATTGATAAAGGTAATTAGCTTGGAGATATCTGATACAAATTGTTGAATCATTTAACATTAATGAGCCGTGTCATGACAAAACCAACATAATGTGTTTGCGACCAGCATGGATCCAGACCAGCCTGCGCATCCACGCAGTCTGATCAGGATCCATGCTGTTCTCTTACAAACCCTATTACAAGTAGAGAAACTGATAGCGAACAGCATGGATCCTGATCAGACTGCGCGGATGCGCAGGCTGGTCTGGATCCGTGCTGGTCGCAAACCCATTATGTTGGTTTTGTCGTGACGCGGCTCATTTTTTATGATTTTTACACCTTCCTCTAAGGTTACATGAAATACAATGTACATATCTATCCAAATTTGAAATGGCACAAGTGAAAAATAATCTGAATAATGACAATGTACATATCTATCCAAATTTGAAATGACTCTAAAGTTAAATTGTCAGAATTATACAAGAATAAGAATTCAAGTTCCAACTTCAAGTTCCTTTATCATTTATGATTTAATTCACTTTTTTTTTCATTAATCTGACTGTTTTACAATACATTCAACAGCATTTGAGTACAGCATTAAAATTTAATGTCAACCTCTAAACGATGCATGACATTTATTATTAAAATTTAAATCCATATCCTTTACAAATCAATATCACAAAAGGTAACTATTCAATGATATTCACAATCATTGTGTTTAAATCATTTCAGCAAACTGTAAACATTGCAGCAACTGTCTATTTCATTTTGTGTTGATTATTTATATACCTGTAAATTAGGCAATAAGCTGTAGGAATAACTGCAGGATCAACAATAGGGTATGTTGGGATTTAAGTCAAAATGACACTGTTCAGACCACCTGACACCTTATAAGCTTTAATGGTGGTGGATGACTTTGGGTGGCCGAAGACATTCAGTGGCGGAATACCTTCCTTGCCTAAAGCGCAACATTTCAGACAAGCCGTAAATAGAACCACCTGACCTCCGTAACCTAGCAGAATGGCTTCCTCACATGAAATAATTTAGTCACTTTGGGGATTCTAACCCAAAGAAATGGTAGGCAGAGGATTTAACCACTCAACCACCGAGGTTCCTTTAGCAAGATCTAACTTCATTATTTCATTCAGAGTCCAGCATTTTTACACTTATCCATGAAAATAATCAGAAAGAAAGCTTATTACTTAGTTTTCTAGCATTTTACTCAATAAGGAATTTATTAGTATTTTTCTTAAAATTTTTCTTGTTAAATTTAAATAGAATCCAAAATCTTTACACTTATTATGAAAATGTATACCAGTCTTCAAACGAAACTACACCATTGGTTAATTTCAAATTTTTAGCTTTTGAACTGACCAATCAGATTCTCATAATGAAGACTGGTTTACAGTTTCAAAATTTTAAGTCATTGTTTTAGATGTAATGAAAATTACCCAACTACTTACTGTTTAGTAAGATTCCTAGTATCACATTGTGGGTTAATATTTTCCTTACATCGCTGATGAAGTCGGTAACCACACGTCTGACAGCGAAAACCTTGCAGTAAAAACTTGTGGCAAACATCACAGAAAGTTAAAGAAAAGAATGTTTTTCGTACCTGCAAGAAAAAACATGTCATCATTTTTAATGCAAATTTAAATACATAATTGGTAAATAAGTATGATATCTCAGTTTTGTTTGTTTGGGTTTGATGTCTATAAAGCAGCATGCCCCCAGATGAGCCAAGTATTTCATTAAAATTAAACCTGAGAAAAACAGACTAAGACTTTAGGAAAAGTAATAATATTCAAGATTTAAGTAATCATTTACATGTTATAGACAGGACTGATTTTAAGAAAATATTAATGCTAGAGGCATTTTATAGTACAAGTAATATCTTGAGAGTTTTAACCTAATATGGATATGCTGAAGACGATGAGGGTGGATACCAAGATAATAAAATTGACATTGACCTTCAAAAGGTCAATTCAAAATGGCCGCTTAAAAATACTAAAATAGGTCATTAAAACTATGATACAATATGATGCAATTAATTATTCTTGTCAAAATCAAATGATTATTCAATATGATCAGATTTTAATGAAATTAGCCACCAAATATAACGATAATAAGCCCGATGGCTCAATAAACAGTAATATACAGTACTGTTTTACTAGTGCGTTAAGGTATAAGACTAAGATTGAAAAAAAATCACTTTTTATGTTTTGTTTACTTGATTATATTTTTTAAACAATAAACTTAGTTTCAAATCCTACTTAATAAATATTACCAAAGAATGAATATTTCATAATAACAAATTAATACTACGAAATAATATTTCGTAATAACGAATTATTTAATATTTCGTAATTACGAAATAATATTTCGTAATAAGGAATCAATATTTCGTAATTTAAACGAAATAATTTTTCTAATTGGGAATTATTATCTCGTAAAACGATTTCAATTCCGGGAGAAAGTGTGGAAAAAATGTCACTTCAGGTGTTCCGTAATTTTTAACATTATTTGTAGCTATGATTTTTTTAAGTTGTTCATTTTGTTTTCATTTATTTTGCACTTATTAAAGTATTTATGGTTTATATATATACTGCAACCCAAATATCTACGACATTATGGCTCTATCTCAATCTATGAAAGTTGTTTTCTACCTCAGGTTTATATATAAAATGTGTTTATTGAGTGTTGAGCAAACTAGGTAAAAAATAGCCAACTTACAAATTTTTACAAATCCTACTTTTTAAATGGTTACAACAATATTTCTGTCCCATTCATCTATAAAATGTGTAACTTGCTGAAATATTGAAATTAATAAAGAGCCGTTTTTTAGCACATTTTGAACATTACACATGTATGCTGCATTTAAGTTTTTTGTGTGTGGTTTTGTTTGTATTTGTTGTTTTCTGCTGAAAATAATGTCTGCATAATTCATTTTTTAGATTCAATTATAACTGCATTAAGGTATACGATGGATAAAAAGTCATCTTAAACTTAGAAGTGTATACTTCATCACACCCTTAACAAAAATTACAGAAAACACCAAATGTTTATCATCTTGTTTAAAAATAAGTGACTATTTAATTTGAAATTTAAAGTTAAAAACAACAACAACAATAATAACAAAACCATATTTTCATCGAGTCGTAAATTCGTCGCTTGAAAACTGTAATGTTCTATTTTCTAATTTCTAATTTTCCAAAATCAAGTTAAATACACAATTTTGTCCGTAATGGACTGTTCTATCTCCTTGGCATGTTATATTAGTGCTTCACAGCTTCATAAATAAATTATAACGAAACCATCCTGTTCTATCTCCACAAATTTACTATGTCTTGATAAATAGACTGTTCTAACTTAGTGGACTAATCATATCATCGATAAATATCACGTGACCTGTGGGATATATGCAACATACTGTTCTAAATCCAAAATTATCGTATCAAAACATAGCATCAAATCATGTGATAGCAGGACACCCGCCATGTTGTACGAAACATTTGAGTTAGATGGTTTGTTGTTTATTTAATAAATTAATACTAAATATAAGTATTGAATGATATTATGTATTCATTTATTCCCTCAAATCATTGACATTTTAGTATTAAGTCCTGTAAAGTCACTGCCTGTAATTAAACAACAAGCAAAACTGATCATGATTTGAAAGTAATTTCGGATGTGTATTTTCGGATAGAAACAACTGTGATCATACAATTTCATCAAACAAATTCGTAAAAAAAGAAAATTTGTTATATGTTCTAACGTTTCTTTAACATAAGGTACATTCTGTCTCAGAAAACAATTATTTATCTTTATAACAGACACATATGAGTTTAGAAAATTGACTGTACTCATTGCCAATATGAAACAAAAGCATAAGATGGTTTAGGTTACTGACCAATGTGGAATATTTTGGAAACTATAACAGAACTCCAAATATCTGGCTTTTGAGAGATTAAGATAAAAGCATTTCTGGGACAAAAAAGGCCTTTAAGAAAATTTATAGATATTATACGTTTACATATAATATATGTTTTCGAATGCGTTAATGTTATATAACTAATAGATTGCTTTAAAGTAAACACATTTTATACCAAAGACAGAAGGAAGAAAAATATTCTTATACGTATATTTTGTTTGTCTTGTAATTTGACTTTGAATTTCTAAATGAATATTTATATAGCATTATGTTTGTATTGTTTTTGTACACGAACAATCTTGAAATATGACATTTTTAAAATATAAGTCATGCCTGCTTCACCTTTAAGGTCTTTTCTATTAGATATGTTTTCATTGCCTATTTAAGTTATAAAAAAATTTTATAACATACCTTCAATTATAAGAACTTCTCACCAACACAAACAGAATGTGTAAAGAGCATTACAAAATAATTACTACTATTTCATACTTTTGGAAGGAATTTGAATTTGACCATCTTTTAAATTTTCATTAAAAAAAATCTTGAAAGATTTTTCCAGCATTCTAGAAAATTTGAAAGTTTTCTTTTCCCGTTTGCGGCTATAACTTTCTTTTCACAGACATTGAATCACTTTGAATATGGCCAAAGTTATAAAAATAGATAAAATGTCTACAAAAATTATGTGGGTATTTTATCTTTATTTATTTAAATTATTTGTTTAAATGTCATTTAATAATGTAATGGATTTAGGGATTTTAATAAGATTTCGAATGTCGTAGTTCATGTAGTTAGATACATATGGTCTAAGAAATAGTGTAGTGTCAAAGTCAACTAATTAAGGGATAATGAGCTGAGAGCATTTTTGGTAGCCTTTTAAAGATAAAACATACTGTTGTATATGCTATAAATCAATTTAACTTAAAAGACATAATGTTCTAAGTCACATTGAACACTCTGATTTTAACAATTTTTGAAAAAAAGTTACAAGGACTGTTCTATCTCCAAATGTTTTTTTAGGTTTTTAAGCGAGGAAAAATTAAAATCCACATATCTGTAACGATATTGAGATGTTCTCTCGACATCACGTTTAGTAGTTTTTAAATTTTCAAAATCCGACATTAAATAAAAAAGTTATGTAATACTAAATCTTTACATGCTTTTTTCTCAAAAACAACAAATTGGCACTTAGAACAAAACGTTTTTCAAGCGACGAATTGTCTGAAACCGGGAGATTGCTATGTGTGCTTGCTTTACCATCGCAGCTCTCGAAAATTTTGGAATTCAGTCACGGTTTTGAGAAAATTCTACAAGAAGATTATCACATCATTTGATATACATTAGAATTCCGGGTACCTTCCAATAAATCCAGGATATCTTAAAGTAACAGCAAAGTTATCTATAAAAATATTACTTGTAATCAATTGAGTAATATTTACTTTGACCATATATAAAAGTCACGTGGGTTGGCTACATAATAGAGGTGTTAAAATATAATTGTAATACACTCTTTGTTAGCCATTGAAATAGTATTTAATGTATAAAGGACTTTCAAAAATGGTTATTATTCAGAGCGGGCGCTATGGTGCAGTGGTAACACTGTCTGCCTACAAATCAAGGGGTCGTGAGTTCGATCCCCCGCTACTCCACTGAACGAATAAATGACTAAACCAGGACATCAACACAGAATGACGGCAACCATAGTATACAAGAGAAGACCTTAACGGAACAGGAAACAAGTACCGAAAGTACAAGACCGAAGACGACGACCGATATCAGAAGGAAGAACGGAGACAAGAACTGACAACAAGCGAATGGAGACGAGGACCTATAACAGAAGGACAGAGACGAGGACTGAAAACAGGAGAGAGACAGGGACCGATAACAGAAAAACTGACGACAAGCGAACGGAGACGAGGACCGATAACAGAAGAACAGAGACGAGGACTAAAAACAGAAGAAGAGAGACAGGGACTGTGCACACAAGAACTGACAACAAGCGAACAGAGACGTCGACCAATAATAGAAGAAGAGAGACAGGGACCGATAACAGAAAAACTGACAACAAGCGAACGGAGACGAGGACCGATAACAGAAGGACAGAGACGAGGACTGAAATCAGGAGAGAGACAGGGACGGCCGCTACTCCACTGAACGAATAAATGACTAAACCAGGACATCGACACAGAATGACGGCAACCATAGTATACAAGAGAAGACCTTAACGGAACAGGAAACAAGTACCGAAAGTACAAGACCGAAGACGACGACCGATATCAGAAGGAAGAACGGAGACAAGAACTGACAACAAGCGAATGGAGACGAGGACCTATAACAGAAGGACTGAGACGAGGACTGAAAACAGAAGAAGAGAGACAGGGACCGTGAACACAACAAGCGAACAGAGACGTCGATCAATAATAGAAGAAGAGAGACAGGGACCGATAACAGAAAAACTGACAACAAGCGAACGGAGACGAGGACCGATAACAGAAGAAGAGAGACAGGGACTGTGCACACAAGAACTGACTACAAGCGAACAGAGACGTCGACCAATAACAGAAGAACAAGAGACAGGGACCGATAACAGAAAAACTGACAACAAGCGAACAGAGACGAGGACCGACAACAGAAGAACAGAGACAGGGACCGATAACAGAAGAACTGACAGATGAACGGAGAAGAACAAAGACGACGACCGAAAACACGGACGTGAATCGATAACAGAACATCTGACAACAAAAGAACTGAGACCAGGACCGATAACAGAAGAACGAAGACGAGAACCGATAACAGAAGAACAAAGACGACAACCGAAAACAGAGACGTGAACCGATAAAAGAACATCTGACAACAAAAGAACTGAGACCAGGACCGATTACAGAAGAACGAAGACGACGACCGATAACAAAAAAACGAGCATCAAAACCCAAGAGTACTCAGATGTACTTTAATGTTTAACCTCCTCACACATACGCAGTAGGAATCTGAGTAGTCACGTTATTTGCTTGCATAGAGTGCCAGATAAAATACATGAAAGCCCTATATGAAGCAGATAGGGCAGGGAAGAGTGAAGTGTATACAGGTCTCTTATGTTTAAATGCCTTAAAATTTTCAGAACTATCTTTAATATTACTTCTATATTAGTATTATATTGGCCTATAGATAAATGTCCACCATCTTGGATTATTCGGCCATATTGGATTGTTTTGTTTTTTTAATTCTGTTTTGGTGTCTAATTTGTTTTTACCTAAACATGCTTTGTGACAAATTTCAGGCTTTTCCTTTCCTTAAAAGTTTTATTTGATATATCATCCATTTATGATAAAGAAATTTGGCGCCCATTTTAGTGGTCATTTCAAATGGCCATTTCAATGGTCAAGATCAAGTTTTTCAATTTGGTATCCACTTTTACCGGATTCAGCATACCTTAAATAGGTTAAATACACCAAGATACCACTTGTACTACAAAATGCCTCTAGCATCTTATAGGGAGCCAAATTCTCAAAGTCAGTCCTGTCTATTATATGCGAATGATAATTGATTATTCAGTATTCATAACCATATTTCTACTGCATTACTAATATAGCAATTTCGAATATTTTGACCTGATTTTGGTAATTTATGCGAGTTAAGAGTGATGTTTGTAATGTGTTAATTGCTCCCTTTTTGTTACTTCACAATATTTTACTTTTAAATACATTTTCAATTTTTTCATGAAAATTAGTATGAGTCTGGAGGCGTAGTGCTTTATATATATTTGGTCATATCTCAGGGGTCATCTACCTATCTCATAGATAATTAGCCAGTATTTACTAATTTCCTTACAAGTGAAAGACTACTAATCCCGTATGATTTCTGAATTAGCTGTGAGAGACGAATCACCATTTAGACCAAATGTTATAGATCAACAGTCACAGAGAAATTCTACCTCAGTCGGAGGATCAAACCAGGAACCCCTGGATTATAAATCCAATAAACTCCCTATTGTTCTAAGTAGGCTGACTAAAGTTATCTTAATAACACTGTACAATTATAACCCTGCATCACTCCTTCAATGATATTAGGAAAACAACAATTTTTTTTATTTTTTTGAAAGGCCCATCAATAATCATAACTAAAATGTTCTGAATAATTAAAGGTTAGAATGAGTAAAATAACTAACATTGTTAAATGATTATTTATAAAAAGTGTGTACTTTTCAAGACAAAATGTTCAAGTAAGGGGACATAGCATGTACATGTAACTGTTAACAAATTTTCATAATGATGACAACACCTGAAGTATTTTAGTAGATACATTATAGATGATATTACTGACTAGTTAAGGGCATATCCTTTAACTCACTAGTTTAGGAGATGTCATTTAAAAGTTTTAACTAGCAAGAATATTTTAAGACAAAGCAAAATTATTTCATTAATCCTGAAAGAGTGTCATCTGTAACTCAATTCTTTTGAAATAACGAAATTATATATCAAACTTAGAGAAACTGTTTTTGGCATGTGATATTATAAAGAAATATTTTCCTGCCTTTATCCAACCTAAGTTTAGGATGGAATACCTTTTTATTTTACAATATCAAAAGAGGATCACATATGGAACAATCACATGAATTTGGTTTATGCATAATTTATTTTAGTTTTATTGTGTAGGATACTATAAGCTTACAGACACACTTTCTTATCCATTCCTGAAACCAACCAGTAGTCCAGTACTGAGCAATGAGTGTAAAGATTCATGCTCAAGGAAACAACAACTTGCCCTTAATAGGGTTTGAACCCATGTGGGTAGCTATCATTAGATTACTAGTCTGGCGTATTTACAACTCGGCCAAGCCACCAAATGACATTGATCCTGGGGTCTAATGAATCATTAAGAAAAATGTAGACAGATAAACAACATTTATAAACACTTAGCTTCAGAATGTACGAGGAGCTAAAAGAAATGAAAAGATTGCTATACATACTATATTATGATTGGGAACTCCTGGGAAACGTTGTTGACGTCCTGTATTTGATTTCAACACAACTGTCAGTTCATACCCTGCGACATCTGTCATTGGGTCATCCCAACTGAACTGTCTCCTGATGATACAAAATAATTAAAGTTAAATACATCATCAAAGTAGCACTCCTTGCTGATTTTTTTTTCTTTCAGTAGAATTTTATGTTGCACCAACACAGTAGAGGTCATATGGCAGCTTAACAGATTTACTAGTAAAGCCCCTTTAAGGCACTAACAGGCACCCCAGTAGAACCACAGATGTTGTATAAGCTACGTGGAGTGCTTCCTCATATGAAAGAATCCCTTAAGTTCTGGCGAGTGGTGAGAGGAAAGTCATTGAATGCAATGACTTTAACCATTTGGACAAGGACACCCAAGACTTGCTGATGTTACAAAACAAATTAAAAAAACATCATTAACAAGGCACGCCATAAGAACTATGCTAATTTTTAGTAAACTTTAGACAGTTTTTAAAATTGTAACATATTGTTTTAATATATTTATAAATTACAACCCACATACTACTCAACACATTGTAAGAAGCCCACATAGCCCTCACAGTATTTGGGTAGAAATATAGTTAACTCTACACAAAATTAATGTATCCCCGAGTAAAAACATGCAAAATATACATTGATAGTAAACATTTATGATTTTTGAAGTATGATATTGTCACATTAATGCAGTAATGGGTTATCTCCTTTTCAATTTGGTCACGATATTTTAGAATTTATCATCACAATTGAGTTAAAATTAATCTCTCACATAAACCAAGGCGCATGAGTGTAATTATATCATTTGTATTACAGGTATATACAAACATAGTGTTAAAATTCACTAAACTAAATGTTACACTGTAACAAAAAATAATTCTTTTTAACTGTAAATCATTCTTCTTATTTTAGATATGTGATAAATAGAATATTCTATCCATGTAGATTCAATACTAAATTTATTGAGGCAGAGGCTGGCATAATATAATTTTATTCAACATGTTCAATAAATTTAGTATTAATCAACACTCATTTAATATCCTGTATCTATTAATTCAAACTAGACCAAAAAATCTAAAATCTGTAGACAGTGTTTTTTTCTTTATATAACTACTACCCTAAAACGGTACCATTCCCAATAGAAAATAGACATTAAAATTCCCAATTTCCAATGTAAAATTCCCAAAATGGCTGTTCAAAATGCCCACAAGGCCAAGTGATTTTTCTAAGATCATTTAAATCCAACATATTCATATAAATCACCACTCAATAGTTCTATTTTGACAGTAGAAGCTGTTAGCTATCTTTATTCATGATGTCTAATCTCATTTGTTCCTGAAAAAATGCATTAAAAAAATTTCCAATTTTAGTCAAAATAACGCATTTTTTTCCCAATCAGTCTGGTACTGGCACCATTCCAAAAGTAGAGAGAAAAAAACGCTGACACTAATAGTCACATTGATCTTACTCGACTCACACACAAACATTTTTTAAAATAACTTACCCTGTTCTATCAAATACATCACAGTCTTCTGTATCAAAGTCTCGTAATTTCATTGCTTTAGCCAGACCTTCACCTAATGTCTTCCCCACCTTCACTGTCACCTACATACACAAAACAAAATCATTCAGAAACCTTTGAACTACATGTACATGGTAAGTTTCCGAAACTCCTATACACTGTTCTACTAAATTTAAAATAACAAATGAGATTCCAGAATTCAAGATTTCGTTTCCACAATTTGCTATTTTTAGAATGAGTAATGAGATTACTAGTTTTCCGTGTACACTTTATAATGACAAATGAAAATTCTACTTTTATCCAATCAATCGAGTCATATTTCACAGTCACAGTAGAAACTTACACCATTTAAGTCTTCACTTAAGCTAGTGTATGAAGTCGGTTGATTTTGCCACCTATTTGAACCATATGAGTATTATAACTATTAAAATGTATATAGCTATATATCTGCTTCAAAAATTGTTATCCTCGGGTGGCCATGATTTGTAACCCTTAGCATTTTACAGTGCTAGTTTGGTGCACTATATTTCCTTATGATTCAAGCGTTCTATGATAAAGAAATTTTGCATACATTATATTTACTTTGATGTATAAAAATATACAACTGTTAAAAGTGTTTTCTTTATTAACCGACATTTGTTGAGACTTTCTGACTCTAGGACACTACAGGGGTGAATTTAGGACACCCGACGATATTTAATTTTTGAAAAACTGCATTTCTAGAACACCTGTATGAAATAAATAATTATGTGTGTAAATATCCTTAAGAGTGTGTAGTGCATGCACAAAATCATTACCACACTGTTTAACCTCTACCTAAAAATTAAAAAAATTTTAAGTTAGCTTCATAACTTCCTCACATGTTAAATTTAATATCCTCCACATCCCTTAACTGACTCATCATTTACCTCGGGTATTTCACAAAATACCATCTACTTACCGAAGTACGCTGATTGTTAGGCAAGAATGCTTTCACATGTCCAACAGGTGACTTCATAGACAGACTAGGGCTAGGTAAAGCTCCCATATCGCCGCCCGACTCAATCTTTGCCCCATTTCCGATGGAGCTGGGAGCCAGATTTATAGGTGTAGTCGGATATATGGGTCTCGCAGGCTCGGGTCTGGGTGGGGGTTCTGGCGGCTCGAGTTCACTGTCTATAAGTGCTTGCTTGTCTTGAAGCTGTGTTTGTAACTCGTGAATCTTATTTGCAAGTTCTTCATATTCCTGTAATCAAAATAATACAAACTAATGTATTTTCATACCCAAGGTCATTGAACTCCACTGTGGTCAAAAAACTTAAAAAATAAAATTTTAAATTCTTCTATAGACCAGATGGGGCTCTAAAACACGAAGATATGCAAAAGATAAAAGAAAAAATATACTCAGAAATAAATTGAAAATCATATTTTTGTGTTATTCTTAGTCTGATTTGAGTTAAAAGTGTTACAGAAATATTGTTTCAATTCAATTAATTCATTTACTGACTTAACTTATCTAACTGAATTAAACCTCAGTATAGAAATAATTAAGCAAGTTTAGTTTTTGAGGTCTCAGTCTTTCAACCATACTCAAACAAAAGAGTATGTTCATCCCATGCGGATGTCTCCACTGTTTCATCATGACAATGAGTGGGAGGGATAAAAACAAGAACTGTCCGAGGACAGTAACGCTCGACTATTCAAAAAGTTTTCACAAGGGTGTTTCATTGAGTATAATAATGCTTACCTATATAAAAACATAAAATTGTCCGAAAAGGTACAAAGGCTTGTTATTAAGATGTTTTATCGAGTAAATCACTGCTTTATTATTATGAACGCATAAAATTGTCCAAAAAAAGGCACAAACCCTTCAGTAGTCATTGAGATACCAGCTTTCACGCAAAAACTTAAGTCGAAAAAGGGGCATAATTATGAAAAAAGCAATGGGACTTGTGCCAATCATGTAAGATAATCACAGAGAACAAGTGTGTGAAGTTTCAATCCATTCCCTTCAGTAGTTATGGAGATACCAGTTTACACGCAAAAACTTAACCAAGAATTTCTAAGTCGAAAAAGGGGCATAATTATGAAAAAAAGCAAATCAAGAGTTCAGTTATGGGACTTGTGCCAATCATGTAAGATAATCACAGAGAACAAGTGTGTGAAGTTTCAATCCATTCCTTTCAAGAACTTAACCACAGGGACGCCGACAAGTGGGTGAATGCATTAGCTTGATTATTCTGTGAATAATCGAGCTAAAAAGGGAAAATCTAAGTGGGGGCATTGCAAATTTTTGTTGGTTCAAACTAATATCTTAACTACTAGTCAATATGCACTTTTTTCAACATATTATTGATAAACATAATTTAATCACTTGTTTTTCATACATTGTCATTTCTATTATCTTAATATTTTATTTCCTTAAAATCAATTGGTGCATAAACTTACATTATTTTCCCTGGCAAAAGATTGTAAGTAATACCAAAAATAACTTGCATTTCTCATTTTTTACTTACATTTCTTTTAGTGTCTAGCATAATGTGCACAATGACCTAAGCCACTTTTCACCTCAAACAATTTCATAGAAATAATATCATATATGAGCCGCATCACGACAAAACCAACGTAATGCGTTTGCAACCAGCATGGATCCAGACCAGTCTGGGCATCCGCGCAGTCTGATCAAGATCCATGCTGTTCGCTATCAGTTTTTCTACTTGTTAAAGGGTCTGTAAGCAAACAACATGGATCCTGATCAGACTGCGAGGATGCGCAGGCTGGTCTGGATCCATGCTGGTCACAAACCCATTATGTTGGTTTTGTTGTGACACGGCTCATATATGTTTATATGAAAGTGTTCTGTATAGGTAAATGTTTCAATAATTTACAACTTTAAAACAGACAGATTATTAATGTGGCCAAGGGATTGCCTTAAAAGAGATGAGGAGTCAGAATTACAGCCATCAGACCTGCATGATCTTAACAGGCAACTAAATGGGTTCGAATTATAGGAGTCTATACAAAATGCAGTTTGTTTGTTTGTTTTATTTTACGCCTTTTCCCAACAGTATTTCAGTCATATAGGCGGGTAGTTTCCTAACCATCGTTCCTGGAGAGTTACACCAGTACTTGACAACCTTCCTCCGCGCTAAACTACCAAAGCATCTCCCGGGGATCGAACCAACGCCAGAGAGGTAACTGGATTAGAAGTCATCGACTCTAACCCCTCGACCACAAAATGCAGTACTAGCCAAGATGTAAAATTGCACTGTATAAAGTTAAACATAATGCATTACTTGTATAGTTTTACCAAGCAAAATTATAATTAATTTAAATAAGACTGATCTTCAAAAATTGTTAAAAATTCAAGATCCAGGAAAATAAATCCACTATAGAAAAAATATTGATTTCACGGTGACAACAATAGGTGAACATGTATCTGTTATAGTTTAAAAATGATTATTTTTGTAAGTATTTGTACCCAGGAAATAAAAATAATAATCCTTTTTGAAAAACACAAAAGAATAATCATGTAAAAATAATAATTGAGCCGCGTCACAACAAAACCAACATCATGGGTTTGCGACCAGCATGGATCCAGACCAGCCTGCGCATCCGCACAGTCTGATCAGGATCCATGCTGTTCCCTATCAGTTTCTCTGTTTTGTTATAGGGTTTGTAAGCGAACAGCATGGATCCTGATCAGACTGCGCAGATGCGCAGGCTGGTCTTGATCCATGCTTGTCGCAAACCCACTATGTTGGTTTTATCGTGACGAGGCTCAATTATCTATTTTGGTTTTAAATCACACCAACACTACAGCTTACACAGGAAGAAATAAGACCCTAAGTTAACCTTCATTCTTCATTTAATGTTAAAGTCAAATTGATTTGTTTTTGAATCCACAAAATTTTTCTCCTTGGTTGTTGTACATGTATATATTCATGTTGTACAATTTTGGAACTAAATTATTGTTTACAGTAATTTGATTCTTCCCAAAACTTATTTTTACCTAAGAAAGGCAATGATACAAATGTATATATTTTACCATTTTTATCATTAAATATCAAGAATAAAATTTCTGTATTTTTCAGCTGAATCAGAAGTATTTCAGTAAATTATGATATCATGTCAGTGAATCAGATTTACATCACAACCCCCTATTGTGTTAGAATCATAAGAATGACAAAGGTAGTAAAACAATACCTGTAAATACAAGGCAGGAGGGTGCCTCTCTTTTCCAAATTGAGCATTCAACCTTTCTAACCTTTCCTTTGTCAGACGTATTAACTTCTCGAGATTGCGAATCTGAAAATAAAGAGACACACATTTCTCACTAACCAAATAGGATAATCTGTCAGGGTTATGAAATAATCGAAGCTGAAAAACCTTATAAAATTTCGTTTAAGTTTATCTTAGTTACACTCAATGTGCAATACTTTCTTACATATGCTTACACAATGTCCACTTCACTATAAACAACAATAAAACTTTATTAAGCAAAAGGCTTCTGTCCAATAAAACCTTTCACAATTGGGTTAGGATTTCCCATATCTCATCAATTATAAGAAAAGATAATGGGACACTACATTGTGATTGCCCTGTATCAACTATTACCTAACAGAAATAACTGATCATGACAAAATTAAATTTTAACCATCTAAACAAGTGAAACAGAAAGGTAATATCATGACAATACTTCATGGGGGAAGACAGTAACTGTTGGTTTCCATCACAAGCAAACAGGAAATACATACAGGGCCCTCGATCTTTCAAATCTGCTGCTGAATATTGGCCAGAGTCCCCCTTCAAAATTGTATGTTTTTTCCCCCTAATAGAGGTAAAAATTCCCCCTAAAAAAATAAAATCTAATGGAAAAAAAGTTAAAAATTTATGCTGATTTTTACAAGTAAAATTGATCTGTTTCATGGTGTTTTTGTCAGGTGAAATATTGTAAGTCTGCACTGTTTTCCATTTCACATGGCTCAATATTTGAATGGATGCCCCGGGAAGACTTTCGTCCTCAAAATTTCTAACAATAGCAAATGGTATCCAAAAAAACACTAATCTATAAGTGGTAGTTTATTGATATTTGACCAAAAAGGAAATTGAAAAAATTCCCCCATATACTGAAATTCTGGTGAGGGTAGCAACCAACTCCCCCAAACTGAGGGCCGTGGCCAAGCAGATCCTGTGTCATTAGTCCTTCTATAATACTGAAACTTAAATTCAATTACACTGCTGGTCTTTCGTCTTCTATTTCGAAGCAGCTTAAATTCCTGATTTGCATCTGAGAAGCTGTCATATTTATAAACTGGAATATGAGACTCTATTATGACAAAAGTTATCATGCATCTGCAAAATTGTCCATGCTGCCAATGCATGTGAAAGAAGAGCTTCTGTCTGAAATTAAATCTGAACCCTATCCAACTTTCAGCAAGAGAAAGTTTAAAATAATTATTTTAATGATCAAACAGCAATTATTGACTGCAAGGAATAATAAAGACAAGTTTGAACTAAATCACTTGCTGCGTTATAAATTTGATTTGGTCAACAGGTGAGCTGCGACTGCTGCGACTGCTGACCAGAATGTACCTTACCCACGGGTATCTGCGTACTCATCCATGACCTAATTTTAAGCAAAATATATTGTACATGACCTAATAATATGCAGTCCAAATCTATTTATCAGACTATTCTCTACACCAGTTGACTAAGGCTTTGTAAAGTAAGTTTACACTGTACACATGAAAAAAACACTTGCATTTAAATGCTTCTGGAGTATCAGAAAAGACCACTCTACTGAGGCAGGGCTCGACATTAACGGTTGTCCGACTGCCCGGGACAACTAAAAGTTTGGTCTGGGCAAGTTATTTTGAAAAGCACTTGTCCGACAGGGCAAGTGAAAATAAAAAGCATCATTGACAAAATGCATGTACAAAATGAATAGAAATAACATCTTTTCATTTATAAACATCTTTAAAACAAAATACACCATGAATCATTATCAATAATGTGAATATACTACGGTCATGTACATTTGTTGATATAGGAAACGGAAGCAAAAATATGAGCATGCGCCGCGGTAAGGTAATTCCCCGTTCTAATAATAGACTATATCTAATTTTGTACAAGGTAATTCCCGGGTTAGCTGTTGTTTAAATTTTGATGTTTGCATGTAAAGATATCATTGAAAATATGTAAATAATCATATTGATCTTTAAATATAATTGTTAAATAAAGTTTTTGCATTTAAAATGATTTATTGTTTAATCTAATATAACAACATTATGAACTTAGTCAACGAAGACTCGTTTACGGCTGTTGACTTGATGATTGAACGGGGAATTACCTTACCGCGGCGCATGCTCATATTTTTCCTTCCGTTTCCTATATCAACAAATGTACATGACCGTAGTATATTCACATTGAATAAACAGATGAACCGATGTTTTAGAAAAACTACTAAATACAAAAAATATTTGTGTCTAACTAACAATCAATTTCATAAACAATATGTCCAGTTTATTGCCTTATGTTAACATTACCTAATACAAGAAGTATTAATGTATGAGCTTGTTTGTTTTTCTGATTTATACATTTTTACCATTTTTAGGTCAGGACAAGTAAGTCTTAGGTCAGGGCAAGTAGTTTTAAAAACTACTTGCCCGACAGGACAACCTGATTCAAAAGTTAATGTCTAGGCCTGTGAGGTACCATAAAATTCACAAAAATGAAAATTTTCTGAAGCTTTGCATCTGGCGTAATATTACTGCATCGTTTGACAGGATACAGAGAAAAAGTACCTGATTGTGCCTATGCTTAAAATGGCTCAATCAATTAAAATTCAAGAGATGAACATTTGTAGGTCATAGGTGTCCATGTGCATCTTTTAAAGTTCTAGCTTTTGATTACCAGACGGCAGAGGTACAAAAAGAAAGCTTGTTTCGACATATTAAGTTAACAGACTGCAGCTTGTTAAACTAAATTCCAAAATCAATCAATAATACTGGGTGTGTGTTATAAGATTTATACATAGGACCCATTCTGGTCCTTACATGATACAGCTAGTTTTAACATTCCTTGAAGCGATAAAATATGACAAGGTTTGCTTTCCCATTAATGCCAAACCTCAGTTTGGGGACCTAGACAATCGCACATTTAAGTCATGTCAGTTGTGTATGCTTCCTGGGTGTTATAAGCAGTAATCACTCAAACTTATGTAAATTGTGGAGTTCTACACTGGTGTTATTTTAACCCACAAACTGGTGTCCAAGGCTCTACTGCGTACTACTTTTCCTCCCCAGTTAACACGTAATTAAATTTGGTAAATCAAAAATGAGCATAAAGTGTAAAAAATAAAATTACCACATGTCACACTGAATCATTTTACCAACTGATGAAAAAAAAAACTTTGATAAATCAGCTGTTTTCTATTTCTCCCAAAATCAATTATAAGTTAAAAGCAACAAACCCCATTTAAACAGAAACATGGCAACATAAATGTGTGTATAAGACTGTCGTTTTATGCATGGAATTATTAAGCTATCGTCTGCTGCATTAGTTCATGTCTGACATTACAAAAAATTGTTCCACACACAGGCAAAAAAAAATCTGTCAAACCAATGACCCACTTACAAATTTTGTCTTAACTACATCGCCAAATGTCAATATACCTTGCTATTTTATCTTGATTTCAGTTAACTATCTGCAAAATCTTCGACAACAAAAATATCACAAACACTGAAGATCGATGAAACAGAACTTACATTTTCAGAATCAAATTCAGAAATTCTGGCATTTTTACAAATTACTTTTTCTTTTAACAAAGGAACTGTTTCTGAATAATGTTTCAATGCAAACACATAATGCAAAGATTACCTCCTCGTTCAACTGTTCAATATTTTCGTTTTCCATTCGTGTTACTGTAAATTTGCAAGAAACATCTCCATTATGTAGAAAATCTTCAACAGCCGCCATATTACCTGCATAAGAAGACAGGATCACGTGACCAATGATAATAACATCTCGCGGCCACCGTGTCTAACCGTCACGCTAACTTGCAACGGCACCGTACATGCCTTTTTACTAGATGTAAGTTAGTTAAATCGTATTTCATTGCTAGTATATTAAAATATACAGATATTTTATGATGTGATTCTATAAAATAATAATCGCGTTTCTATCACGGAAACTTTTTTATGTAAATTTGATATATAAACTGCTAAAACTGGCACCAGTTCATGCTAGATCTGTTCGTTCATCAACTTGACACCAATTCTATATTTCGAAGAAGTATATGATTTGTAAAACACATTCACTATATACTTATAACGAACGCAGCAGATTTTTTGTCTCGAAACTATCACGGCTGTAATTTAAGTCCTGAAACTGCTATATCAAATGTTAAATGAATATTCCGTATCTGTAATTTGGGACAGGCAGAATCCTTATGCCAGGATATAATTCATTTTTGTAAATGTACTCCACAGACAAAGTTGCCCACATAGCTATAAACACATTTCCACATCTAAAGATTCGTACAAATATTCATTTTACTGTCAATGGAACATATATAATATATACATGTATGGTCCATTGACAGTAAAAACAACATAATAAGCACGTAATGCACATGAAACAGTCACAATCAAGAGAAACGTGCACTGTGCCTCGCCTCTACTGGTCCCCATATTAATATAATAATTTATCAATCATACTATCTACAAAGTTATAATTTTTTCGCTTTTGTAAATATTTTAACCAGTGCCCACACATTAAATCGAGGGAGTGTCGTATTCAAAAGAAAATGTACTTGTAGTGTTAGTTAACATGCATATATAAAATTTATATTAATGGAATAAAATGCGTATTTTCAGTTTCTGTATTTTCACTGTAAGCATTTTTTTTCACTGCAGTGAAACACACTTTTTACGACGCGGTCCGTTGCTATGAAAAATTGACGGAAAGAAGTATTTACTCGCGCATGCGCAATCTGCGTAGGGCAAAAAGAGTTCCCCCTTACGATCACGAACCTGACGTTGAGATAATTGTTGCAAAAAAATGCGGAATAAATATACATGTATTAGCAAATAAAGAAGTCAATTTAATTGTTGTTGAAATCGTCCATATGAAAACTTAAGAAATTTTATAACATATATTATTATAAAATCGAGGTTAATTATATCATTCTGAAAATAAGTCGGAACACGTGAAAATGCATTTTTAGTTTTCAGTTTACCTAATTTTATCCTCTATCCGACTTGACTGTGATGCCAAACAGAAGTTTTTAAGTCACATAGAAGCTAAATATATTTAAATAATTTTTCAAACTCTTGAGAAGTTAACATGGGTGGTGAAATAACACACATTTTATCCGGTTCCTCGTAACACATGAAAATGCACGTCACGTACACTATTTGTCACTTCACATTGCACAATTAATAAATATTGATGAGATTGGTATAAACAAAAGTAACTTAATTACGATTTTCATAATTTTAAGTGATTAACTATGTCATGGTACTAAAATATTTTTAAATAGCTGGCAAAGAACAACCGGTCATGTGCCAATCCGTTTGACACTTATATAATTATACCGCCTTGCCAATCCACTTTCAAGGGAATACCAATTGTGTGATATTATGTAATAATACATGGGTAATAAAATTTTATCTTTAACACCCTGCTGTTTCAGTTTAAATTACTGATGAACAAGTCATTTAAGGAGGAAGTTTGGTCATTGAATTATTAGTCCCGCTAAATTTGTATATCTATTACGAATATCAATTTACGTTTTAAAGGGGGACACTGGCAAAATTTTCATTTCTTCGTTTTAATTTTTTTTTCATTCTTTATTCTGTAAATGGCCTCAAAATGAATACACTATTCAGACATAGGAGCAAAACTTTTCTTCTTATAAAGAATAAAATGGTCAGGTTAGAGCTTAAAATTTCACAAAAGTTATCACAGTGAACACTTGAAACGTCCATGAAAGTGTCAAATGAATTACATAGACTTGTTTCAATCATACAATATCCACAATATCTGTTATTGTAACTTCCAGGGTTTGTTCAAGTCACATGACTTGTTTTAAAACTACTCGTGATTCTGTCGGCGTCTAAATTTCGTTCAACATATATAGGTATTTTTATGCTTCAAACCCAAAATATATAGAATTTATACAGAAATTCATGCTAAGATTTTAAGAAAATGCCATCACGGATTTATGTAAAATAAATTTATGTTATTTAGCTTGATTTGAGTACATAAGATCATTTTAACATTTTTATCATTAATTTGCCTAAGTATCCCTTTAATTACTTACCGCTTTAATTCATTCCAAAATTTCTGTTTTCTTGGTGACACAACTTATATTGGCCTCCAAGTGCGCTTAAATGTAGTCTATTGTTATTGCGCTTTTGTCGTACGCAGAATGCGCATGCGCGAAATGCAACATCGGTTGCTATGGAAAACTCGTACTGGAAAAAGGTCTATTTGCTTTATAGTGCTATATATTCTATGTGTCAATCAGTGTGTTTCTGTATCCCACTTAATGTCACAGACAGTATTTATATAGCGCAACGAAAGGGGTCATTTAAGACATCTTATCTGTCTCATCGCGGTATAATTAATTGTACAGGATGGCACAGACAACACACCTTTAAAGGTCCCTACCTTATACTTATTTAATAAATAATAATACACGAAAGACTATATTCTATAATTCTCATGTAAACAGATATGCCCGCATCATAGCAGACACGAATGCATCTATTTATTCAGAGAAATATACATAAACACATACAATATTGTCACATATATCAACCTACACAAAAATGCAACAAAATAATGTATGACGTAAAATGAAATTATATTAAAGTATTTTAGTTTACTCTTTTCTAATTTCGTATTTTCAAACCAGCAAACAAACAAATAATTAAAAAAAAAAATATTATAATAAACAACAACAAAAAAACACAACAGAAAACAGGGCACGATGAAGAAATAGAAATCAGCGTCGCTTTAGAATAGCAATACATGTGTATATGTGCAATCTCAATGTGACAAGTGATAAGAATTTACTTGAATATTGAAAATTATATGAACAAATGTCCCACATATGGAGCATGTTTGCCGAGACACCATATCCCTTGTTTTCTTCCCATTATTCGTTCGGAACAGTGTCAAATGGGTTTACAGGGGATATTCGTTATGCTTGTAAATATGGACCTATCACGAGTTACTTATAAAACATGTACATTGTATAACAGGAAAACAGTAAGAATAAAACAAAAATGAAAAGACTAAACATAATAATATTTAAAAAATACCTATAGACTGCATAATTTAGTTTCCTCTACTGTATTTGTTTTAGATAGGTTTCAGATCCAGTTAATTAACCCAGATCAAATAACACCAAAATAGAGGGGGGAAAAGCCTGTGTCTAAAACGGCAAAATCGACAAGGTTTGCAGGCTCGCTTTGACTGAGCCTGGTCATGGACGGTATTGGTAATTGCAAGCTATCGCCCACGCCCCTAGAACCGAAATAAGCAGTAGAAAACAATAGACGGAACTAATTAAAATGGAATTTTGAAAGAGGATCAGAGGTTTTGAAGCTTACATACCGCAGATTAGACGTCAAAAGAAAAATTAAAAAAGCAAACAACATATCCTATGGTTGATTTAACAATATTCGATTAGGAATATTGGAACCAGCCATCAGAAAAAGGGTCAAATGTATGGAATTGAAAACAAACACAAACGCACAATAATAGTGTCCTGCAAAACATATTTAACCCATTACTTCATGAGCATTTTGTGAAAAATGGCTGTTTTCATTGAAACGTCTCCCGTTACAAGTTCAAATTGCTATAATACTAGAAAACCTGCTTCAACACTAATCAAACTTGGCACAAATGTTGACTGAACCATTGCCCTTGCAACAACATGCTCAGGCTTAAATTTTCTGTTACCATGGCAACGAGGGGACATCTCAAAATTGCCAAAAATCACTATTTTGCGTTGATATTTTCCATCAAAATTGATTTCAAAGTGCTGCAACTTCTCAATGGATTGAGATAGAGTCAAATGCTTTTCAGCGTTGCTTACACGTTACCTTATGATCAATCTGGGGTCATTTATAGCCTCTCACAAGTCCAAAATTTTCTTGGCGATGAGGGGGACTCCGCCCCCCTTCAAACTCCCCAAACAGAAGGGGGCACATCCCCCTTCTGGCAACCCCCTGATGTATTTTTTTGGTTGGGGGCCGCGCCGAAAAAGAGGTCACTTTTTTTAACAACATTTCTCAAACAAAAACAACTGTTGGGGGCCTAAATAAGGCATTTTTTCACCATTTGAGACAACAAAAAGGGGGGGGGGGTGAAAAAGGCGTTAAAAGGCGTGTATATAACGTAATGGGTTAAGAAGAAAAGGCTATCAAATTTATACTAATTTATGTATAGTTTAATATGCTTTTATGTGGTGGTATCGCTTATGTAAAGTTCATGAAAGAATTAGACAGACAAAATCTTCTATAAAATGTGAACAACAATTAGAAAGCAAAGCACTACTACAGATACAATTCATTGAAGAAGACAATATCAAACAAAGTGTAGTCCTTGGTCAACTTCATGTCTTGATTTTAAGAAAACTCTGAACACTAGAAAACATTCATAGATTTTTGTGTGTGATGATCAAAATAGAGTTCCCGATTTTTCATCATGTCCAACTTAAATAAACAAACGTTTCCACTTTCAAATAATAAAATTTGGCATAAAGGCAAACCATATTTTGTCATTAATAGGAATGTACGTTGCGGTAATATCAATTAAATAACCTTGACCTTAAACATGTTTCTATGCTGCAATGTTTATTGTTAAAGGCCCATTATGCCCGCCAAAGAAATCTTTCTATTATTATTTCTCAAAAAAAAAAAAACTTTTTTCGTGTCCTGTTATAGTTTCCAAAAAGTTACTCACTGGATAATTACCCGAACTGTTCTTTGCTTTTGTTGCTCTTTGCAATTAGTATAGTTATATTGATTTAGTATTTTGTATGGAAGTCAAATACTACTTTGTTGACATTTTGCTACTTTTCTGAGAAATAATTTCAAATTAAGCGATAATTTCTTCAGATGAGAAGCCTTATATAACATACTTTATAATCGTTATTTAAATGTTATAAAACTCATCTACTGCCTTTGTACAGAAAGTAAAATATTTATTTCTGAGGCATATTGTTCCCTTAATAAAACCTGTTTAACATTTCAATTTCCACTCCTTTAAAAATCGTTGATCGGCACGACAAAACAGTTGTGTATCTGGTAGTTTAAGTTTATATTTCTTAATAGGCCATTATTTCTTTATCACCCTTAGGCTATGTTGCTTGCTTTTGCAATTTGTTTATTTGGGGGTTTTGTTGTTGTTTTTTTTTTCAGTCTATGATCTACGACTTTAGAACCTCTGATCTGCTTTCAAAATTACTTTTATTTAGAATCACCCATTGTTTTCTCGTTAAGGGGGCACGCATACTTCTCCTTGTGGATCATATGCCGCAGTTCATGTAATGTGGAATGGAACGTGTCATCGAATGTTACATAATCACCGTCGTCTCGGATCTTTCTTAATTAAAATACCACTGTTTTTATGCTTGAATGTTGAATACCACTGAATTAAGCCGGTGCTAGGGGCGTGGATGGTAGCTTGAACATATTACTATAGTCCATTAACCAACTCAATCAAACCTTGTTGACTGATATCAGGTTATACCCATTTTTTCAAATTTCTGGGCGTACTTTGTGGATTCTTTTCTTTCTTTCTTATTTTGTTAAATAGGTATAATGTTTATAAATAAATATGATTGTTAAAAAATTGATTTGGTTGATTACTGTTCCATGGTTTCATATATTTACAAGTTGATTGAAAAAGTCAAGATTCATTAGGATACCTGTTATTATGCAATAATAATTTTGATCGCAAAATGACATGGACAAAATAGGATATCATTAATAGTAAGGTGGTGGGGGGCATTTGAAATGCAATGAGACATGAAAGTTATTTGAAACAATTCATGATTTCTCTTTTAAACAAAAGATTGCACAAATTAATGAAGTTACTCTTTGACACCTGCAGGGCATTATTCATTACACAGGTGCCTGACGTATAATTTTCCTTATATCACAGATATATAAGCAATCTTATATTTAACTCCATGCTTATATCTATAATATATAGAGAGAGTGTGTTTGTGTGCAGGGTCTTCAAATAGAGAGATTCTATTTGAGGTCTACCCTGGTGTGTGTTAGACGTCAGGCACATGTGATTTATAAATAAGTTTAGATCTATAATATTAATAATAGCATTTGAATTGTTGACTACAAGTTATTATTACTACACAAATGACAAGTTTATGTTCTCTAACTGTACTGCTTTTTATTTGACTGTTTCCAGAGACTGAAGGGCCTTATGAACTTTTCGATACAAAACGATAAAAAGTTTTTTTCCGCTAAAATAAAATCGTTTCGATTCTTTAAAGGGAAAAAACGACGACGACAACAACAACAACTGCATTATTTTTTTTCTCCGGAAAATATAAATTTAGATCCCAATAATGCCATTACCGCCGGCTTTAGCTGCTCGTTTGCAAAAGAGAGGTCTTCTACAGAACAGTCCAGAAATTAAACCAGCACAAGCTACATCGCTAAACACGCCAGGTAAAATTGGGGCTAGGAAGGATAGGAAATCATCAAAATTTAAAATCGTCTTGTTAACAGTTTAGTGCTAGACATATAAATCCGAGTTGTCTGGGGTGGCTGTGAATTGTCTTGTTCCCATTTTTTTTAAACCCCAAGATTGAATATTATGAAATTATTTTGGTCAGATTGACAATGAGACAATTTGAGCCTGGGTGACTTGAGTTAGGGTATTTTTACCTCGGAAAACTGTTTAAGCAGCACCTACATATTTTTTAGCTATAAATGAAATCATTGTCATATTTTAATGCATTTTACTTTTATTGGCAATGAAGAGGTTGAAGAAGTGTTTGCAGAGGATTATGATGACCCGATGAAAGATGATCCAGTGTTGCCGGAACCTGCCGTGGAGACGAGAGTACAAGTTCCTGTAGAAGAGGAAGAGGAGGAAGATTCTCTTAGAGAAGTAAATAAAATAATAACTGAGCTGCACCATGACAAATCAAACATAGTGCTTTTGCGACCAGCATGGATCCAGACCAGCCTGGGCATCCACGCAGTCTGGTCAGGATCCATGCTGTTCGCTTACAAACCCTATTACAAGTAGAGTGACTGATAGTGAACAGCATGGATCCTGATCAGACTGCACAGATGCGCAGGCTGGTCTAGATCCATGCTGGTTGCAAACATACTATGTTTGTTTTGTCATGGCGCAGCTCATTATTTAATGCTGCATTCTAATACTTTTATCATGCAAAGAGAAATAGTATTTTATCTGATGTAATATTTATGGCTCTGTTCTGCTCACACATGTGTGGGCGTCATCATAACTTCAGGTCAATGTTTAACGTGCAACTTGATATGCCCCATAACTCTAGAATGGTTTCTGACTAATTTATTCCCCTTTTGGAAATTGGTTATTCCTGCATAAAGTTTTGCATGCAAAGATCAAATTTTACAACTGCTGAAGTTATTCAATTAAAACTTGTGTCTTATTCAAGTTATTGATATAATTATAGGTCACTTTCCAGGACCCAGAACTCTTGAATGCATTTTGACTAAATTCCCCTTTGTGAATTTTATCATTCCTGGGTAAACTTTTGACTGAAAGATCAATTCAACAACTTTTGAAAGTGTTCACTTAAAAATTCACTAAATAAATGCCTTTAGGATTACAAATTTAGGTTATTGTCTGAAACTCATACATGTTACTCTTGAATGGAGTCTAGCTGATTTATTCCCCTTTGTGAAATTACTGTTCAAAAATACTGAGTATTTTGAGAGAATAATAGCCTTAAAATTGTGAACTGTTTTGTAAAAATTCCTGCAAGGTTTAAGTTTACTATCAATCTCTCAGAATGATTAAGCCATGTCTTTAAGACAGATATTGTCTACAAGATTGATAGCTTATCATGAGTTATATTATTATTTTTGAAGAAAAACTTATCCATTCAAGCTTAAGAACTGCATTATTAATTGGATACAATTAAGCTAAACTCAGTGGAGTTGTGGCCAAGTGGTTAACACATTTGAAATGTAATGCAAGGGTTGCTGGCCATGTGGGTTCAAACCCTGTCAGGGGCAAGTCGTTATTTCCTTGAGCAAGAAACTTTACACTCATTTCTCTGTACTGAACTGATTTGAGAGTGTTTCAGTAAGCTTATATAGCTTCCAAAAGAATGGAGTAAATTAGATTCTTTATAAACTAAGCTTAACTGAGAACATTTCAAAAACAAGAACAAAAAAACCCCAAGCATTTCATTGCTTTCAAATAAAGCATTTAGATTTAGATGCCTTAGATTTATATAAAGAGCAGCATGTCTTGATGGCCCTCGAGACTGTTGAAAACATTATAAAGTTTCCACAACCCTGTTGTTTACAATAATGTCATATTTTCAGGTCCCTGCCTGTCCTAACAGATCTAATCCATACCATGAATGCAGTGATTTCTGTAAACAAAGGTGGGGTATGAAAGTATGGAATCCCACTGAGGACATGATACGAAAAAGAGACAGAATGTTGCGGAAATATCCTTTACCGCCAGAATGGCAAGAAATTGCTGATCCTGAAACGTGAGTATAATTATGATTTTCCCTTCTAGATGGGTCTGGTAAATGGACTTATTCCCAATTTCTAAATAATTCTTGTATTTCCGGATGTGTTGTCAAAGAATATTTCATAATGCACAATTTTGTGTTCGGTGAAACTCATTTTTGCCCCAATATCTAAATAATTCCCTGTTCCACAGACTTTTACTTGTTCTGAAATTGTTGAAGAAAAACACTGACTTATAATAAAAGGTTTCTCAGAAGACATTAAAGAAGTTTTAGTATTTTGTTGTTCTTGCAAAACATTAAATGCTAATGCAGGCACAATACATATAGCTCCATGCACAAATTGTAGTAAAGAAATTGAAAATTTGGTACCTATGAGGCTATGACCAAGTATTTTGTCTTCTTCCACTACTTGAAGTCTTCTTTCTTCTTCCACTACTTGAAGTCTTTCTATATCAGTTAATGTCTAACTTCCTCCACTTCTTGATGTTGTCTTTCTTGTTAGGTCTTACTCTACTACATGAGATCTCTTTCACTACTTAAGCTACTGTTTTACTTGAAATCCAACCCAAATCCCTAACAACATCTTTAAAATTATCTATTTCATTTCTATAATTATAGATTTTATTCATCAGGGGAGGCAAGAAGATTCACAGCTGGTTACATATAACTCCAAGAAAAAAAGTTGTGAATAGCTAATTTTGTTTTATTATAAGTGTTAATCAGGTGTCTAATTGTCTTGTATGTGTAATTTCAGAGACAGATATTATTATTGGAACATGAACACAGATCAGGTATCATGGCTGTCTCCAATACACCCCAGAGCTGTGATTACCCTGTCAGCAGAAAAATTACAAGGTAAATTCATAGATGATCTGCTACAACAAATTGTACACTGCAAACATTTCCATCTTTAAGAATCATGTTTAGTCTGTATCTTAATAACCATAGGATAGATTGTTTACCAATATACAGTTTTTGGGAGATTATGCGATGTACATTTATAATACAGTGAAACCTCTACAGAAAGGCCACATGTAGAGCAATAACCTCTTTACTACAACAGTATCACTTTTTTTTTTCAAAGTAAGATTTTGTAACAAATTCTACCGTTTTAGAGCAACAGCTCTCCGCAACAATCAAAATCTTTGTCTGCCAAAGATAGTTGCTATGCAGAGGTTGTATTTTAGTGTATTATTTATAATGATTCACAATGAAATGTCAAATGTAATGACCTTGTAGCCAATTGGTTTTTTGAAAGCAGAAAAATAGAATATTTATGTAATGTGACATAAATGAATGGAACTGAAAGTGATAAGTGTTTTCGAATGGTTAATAGCTGGGTCAGACTGCACATTGATGTAATCTGACTGGAGTCTATATGTGCATCGCTATCACACTTCAGTTTACTTTTTGCATGCAAGTTGGTATCTCCAAACTACATAAGGGAATGGGTTGAAACTTCACAGCATGAAAGGTCACTGTCCAAGGCCCATAACTCTTACATAGTTTTTGACAGAATTAACTGAGAAAATTCTACATTATCCAGGCTCTTGTTTTACTATCAATAACTGAAAATGGTTGAGCACACTGTCTTTCTTACAGCTCTTGTTTTATCTTGACGTCCCCAAATTTGATTTATTGCCAGAAATACAAGCCGGACAAGTTCATTTTAGAAATTTAGCAGATTAAGGATTAACATAATGTTGTTGAATATTACAGCTGTGTTACGGAATGATGGTTTTACAAGAGGAGATAGTGACAGTGAGGACAGTGAAGAGGAAGGCATGGACGTCTCTGATGTAAGTCTACCATGTCTTCTCCTTATATACAACATGCATATTAATTATTAGAAACAAAAAGGGATATTTACAAGCATATGCCAGCACTATAACCAGGTCTATCTGCCTGATTGTTCAGTCTGACTCTGCTCGGTCAGATTGCAAATGACTCAACTTTACTGTTTAACCTACATATTTATATTGAAATACTTAAAAGTGTTGAAATCAAAAGATATTTGGCCCCATATTTTCTTTTTCCTGGCAATTGAATTCCATAAATATGCCTTCTGCCAGATAGCCACCAAATTTTATGCCCTTACATGATTTCACAGAACCTTAGTGATCATTATGCTCATTCTTTCACTGTCAAGCTGACATAAATAAGTTGCATATTTCAAAAGATTGACTATTTTACAAAATTGAAATCACATATAACAAATTGAATACATGTAGTTATTTTAATTTTACCTAAGTACTTCTTATTTACGATGGAATGGGCATAATGCCTCTTTAAATAAGTGAAAGACAGTTTTATTGTTAAAGTTAAGTAGTTCAGTAATTGAAACTGGCTCTAACCTGGAAAATAAGTGTCATATGGTCACTCGTATGACAGGTTTAGTTTAATGATGGGTTTTGTTTTATCAGGCAATAAGATTCCAATACATTTACAATAATCTAATGGAAAAAAGGCTTATTAAAAGGCTTTCATTGTAATCTTGTAACCAGATTTCAATATTGTGATATTGACTTGCAGAGTGAAAGTTCATCATCATCATCATCAGACGAAGATGAGTATGACAGACGGCACGAGAAAGGTCGGCAAGCACACGAGAGAAACAGAGGTAGAGGTGGTAGACAACGTAAAGATGAAATAGATCCTATGGACCCAGCATCTTACTCCGATATTCCAAGGTAAGTGTAATATACAGAGAACATTAAGTGAGTGTAGGTTCAATACTGAAATTTATTGAACAAGTTGAATAAAATTATATTATCTGGCGAGTATAATATTGTTTTATTCAATGAGTTCAATAAATTTAGTTAAGAACCTACATATACATGAATAAAATATTCTGTTTATCACATATGAAAAATAAGAACTATTTTCAGTGAAAAAAGAATTGATTTCTTTTGACGGGGTTATACATGGAGTGTTATGGTAACATTTGGCACATCCTTATCATATTTGCCTGAAACTTTCGGTTGTTACTACTCTTGAAAGCTCTGTTTTTCAATATAAAAAAAGCAATGAAAGTACAGTCATGTAATACCAAATTTAATATTTTTAATTTCTGCCCTTGTTTTGGAATTTTTCTGAAGGTGTATCTCTTTGTATTTCTGCAAGGCATTATGTCAAATTTAATGAGGGTAACTTATTCTGTTCTTCACAAATAACAAACAAATCTTTCAAATAAGATTGATATAAGGGTAACTAGATAATATACAAGCTGTGTAACAAATTATTTCAGGGGTGGTTGGTCGGCAGGTTTAGAAAGATCAGGTGATGCAAAGACTGGCGTTGATTCAACAGCTTCCGGCCCATTGTTCCAACAGAGACCATATCCAAGTCCCGGTGCAGTGCTTCGTGCCAACCGAGGGAAATGAAGGAAGAGTTCAGTTGGTTATCTTCTTATGACATTAACTTTTTATGACAAAACTGAGCTATGCATAGATCCCTATATGACTGTTATCTTTTCAATTTGAATTATAAGATTAGTGAATTAGAATTTCACCCCAAAATATTTTTTAACAAAAGAGCACATGTCAGTGTTTGTGGTTAACTTTGTTGTTATTCAAGTGAAAGGTCAGAGTAGGGATCTATCAATTAGGTGAACTTTGATAAAAATTTATCTTTTAAGGTTTGAAAGATGTCAGATGAAACTTTCTTTTGGACTGGTTGGTTTTATATTAGCACAGTTGCTGATTTGCAAGATGTTTTACACAAAATAAATGTTTCGTTAATACATCAGAAATAGTTCACCACTTGCTATGTGATCAGTAACAGAAATGTTGTTGTCTAAACAATGAGATATTTGCTTAATTATCACCTTAATGAAAATAACTTCATGTGTGTGTGATATTTATGGAAGTACATTTTGTATTTGTAAATACACAAGTTATAACAATATTTGTTTATGTATTAAATGATGAATGCATTAAAAGATAAATAACTGTCATTTCATCTACATTGTCTTCATGTTTATCATCATAATATTCATTATATTTGTCATCATCATCATCATGATTGGCAGCAGCAGCAGAAGATCCATCAACATTGTCATCATCATTATCATCCATACAATCATCATCATAACTTTCATCATCGTCACTACCATTATCACAATGATTATCTGCAGCAGCAGCATCATCACCATCATCATCACTATTAACTTCATCATCATCAGCAGTAGCAGCATTAAAGCTGTCGTTTAACATCATTTTGATGTTAAATAAAATGCTAAAGTAAGTTTTTGAGTTGTTATTTTTGTTGAGTCAAGGAAATTTTATAGTTTATATATTTTTCCATCAAATCCTGTTCAAATTTTGATAATGCATGATAGATTTACCTTAAAACATATGACCACTTAGTCTTTAACAAGAACTGAAAACCCATGTTGGGGGGCATCAATGTTCAATTGACACATGACAAAGGTTTTAAATGGTTTAAACATATTTATTTAAGCTTGATTGCGAAACAAGTTCTTGCAACTTATATTAATCACTTTCGAGTCCGCTTCCTGGAACCAACCAGTACTGGTGTCATATGAAGAAACATGGTCGTGACCCGAGTAGGGCTCGAACCCATGATCTCTGGGTTGAGAGGCTGACACCTTAACCACTAGGCCACCGCTCCCCTTTTAAATATGATAACACAACAAAATATAACTTTTTTCTTTTATTTTGTTAACTCAAAATAATTACAAATAACATCTATACAAATTTGATTTTGAAAAATTAAAAGGAAAATCTGTAAATGACACCTTCTGGGTTCAATTTAGGACTTTTTCTGAAGATTGAATCTGAAACCATGTGTATTTTTTTATCATCAAGGCAATTTTGGTTTAGATTACCTCCCTTTAATAGTCAACCCTAACCCTATATTTCAAAGCTGTCGAATTGTACGTAATCTCTAAGAACAAACTTGAAGATCCTGTTACTCAATTTTTTTATGACTTTATATCATAGATATAATGCTCAAATGAAGATTTATCAATATTGTATGTTCCAAAAAGCATTATTTGTAAAGATATTACTGAATTTACATTTTATGTTAATAAAGGCGGGTTATTAGAAATTTATTTTCTTTAAAGTCTAAGTCAAAATTTTCAATAAGAAATGAATGCATATATTTTAATATAATTTACATATAATGTGGACAAATATTTGCAGTACATATTTTACATATTCTTCGATGTTTGAAAATTGTTTTAGAAGAATTATATACATATATAAGATTTTATTGAAGTGTGGTAACAACCTTAATTACAACATACATGATCTTTAATTATTTCAGTACAAACTTGAAAGAAATTGAATTGTAACATATCTTTATATTTTTATGTAAATTAGTTATTATTGCGTTGTCTAGTTTTTTTTCTCATTTAATAACCAATGGCTATTGAAGATATAAGTGAACAAAGAAAATATCTTTTTTTTTATAAAATAATTATATTAAAAATCACATAGACTTGCACCATACAAAGTTATTTATACAAATATACAATAAAAATACCTGATATTTGAGGACTAAATTTTTGTTTCTTAATCACAGAAACTGCAACATACACTCAACAACCACAAAAAATATTTATAGTAACAACCGTATCTAAATATAGTAACAACCGTATCTAAATATAGTATATTTTATATTATCTAAAGCAACAGACCTCTTTAATGCTCATGTTTAATTTTATGAAGAAAAAAGTTCTCTTATAAGTAAAACGCTTTCAACTTGGCAATTAAAGTGAATTAATCTGGCCCAAAACAAATATATTACCAATGGCAACGAGTACCGATCGAGTATTCTTGGAAAGAGATTACTCGGAAGATTTCCTGGATTTTTAAAGTGTTTGAAAGATACACTATTCTCATACTTGAAAACATTGAAAACTGCTGCACTGTTTCTTTGTAAATATAAAATCAACATGTTTCGACTTCACACACAGTATATATGTTGTTTTTTAAACTTTACACACTATAGGAGGCCACAATGTGAATATATAGTGTCATTAAAAAAAACTGGCATTTTTTTTATTTTTATTTTTTTTGAAAAAGGACCAATTTTATTTCACCTGTAATAGGGAAGGCAGCTTCCCCTTCATAGTTTGTACAATTTTATTCAAATTAGACATTTATTCAGTAAAAAATTCATAGATTTCAATAATCTCTGTGATGTAATTATTTTACTCAAAGATGAGCATAGTTTATCTTTAACTATAACCTTTCTATCTATCCATTTCTAAACAAAAATAATAAACACCAATGATCCAATGAAAGAGGTTATTTGTTTGTTTTAAATGAAAGATAAAAAATATATTTCACATGAACATTAGATGCGATATTTTCATGAATGACAAAACATAATAAATAAATCTATGTACATTACCACTTACTTTGTAAGTAACAAGAATGAGCCTTATTTTATAAAGAACAGAATGAAAAAAAAAATGACTTTTTATTTGGAACAAAAAACTTTGAAGAAAAATGGAGGAAAAAATTAGATCAGTCTCTTGCATAAAACATGCAAAGCGTTAGTGATTTATTGATATTTAGTTATTTACACATTTATTAAACTATAAACGTTTTATTATAACAAAGTACACATGTATTACCATTTGAAAATTTGTAAACATGAGGTTCTTTTCTTGAGGCATACACATTTAAGTATTTGCAAGGTAGTCACAAAATTATATCACCAGTAGTGTGCCAAACCAGTCTGCTCATCAATGTAATCTGACTAGAAACCATTTTAGTATTTTGAAACAATTGGTTCACCTCGACGATTATTAATCCGATGATTGACGGAAATGACCGAAATGTTGTAAATGATTTTGAAACTGAAATCACGTATCAAAACGAAGTTGAAGTTTAAAATTAAAAGCCTGGACAAACCCATTGCAGAAAAAAGCTAACTAAATAATTAACTTTAAAGATGATACGATTTTGATGCATATGTTTTTCTCATACATATTATTTTAGTTTAAGATATAATATGATTTTAGATATAAAGGCAACATTCTAATATTCCTTTCCTATGCAGAGGTACTCTGTGGGCGTCATGCCTTTGTCTCCGGGTCAGGGGTGAGGGGCGGGGCGAAACCTTCCCTACACACAAGCCAGTATGTCTTCACGTTTCCTTTAAACGCTATCAGGAGATCATGATCATTCTGAAACAATAAATAATTCTGTTATAACAAAATGAGCAAGGAAAAAATGCAAAACAACAATTGAGTCCATATTACCTAGTTAGATTTGTAAGGCAACAGGTATGTTAAACGTGAAGGGAGTATTTAAAATTAAAGTTAGAAAAAAAAGAACACTAAAATAGTTGAAACGCTATTTAATTGAAATCTTGTAAAATAAGAATATGGAAAGGAAAAGAGATGGTGGTGGACTGGTGGTTTACCCTCCGGATCAAGACAACAAGCCACTTTGAATTCTCCAGAACACAATGAATACATGTCTGTAACGTCGCTTTTTATTAGATTGTCGTGACTGTTTTTCTTTTTTTTTTTAAAAAAATCGGTAAAGCAGAACTATAAATTGGTTATAAAGAATTGGCCGCTATATAACCATATTCTGACGGGCAATGTGCTTACAACCGTTTAAACTGGGTCATTTAACCTATCAAGAATCTTTAATACTAACCCTTAATCTGCTTGAACCGGAAGTGATGAGCTATTGCCACCATCCGTGCAATCTGGCAAGGCTTTTTACTGCATAAAGCTCAATATTTGTATTTTGTTAGTGAAACACCTTAAAGAGACTCCACTGAGGGTTTTTAATACGAAGGGACCAAAGTATTTTTTCAAGATTTTTGTTTAACTGTATTTAGGTCTGGATCAATAGCTTGTGTACAAAATGTCAGATCATTTGCTCCTTCCGTTTCTTGAATAATCTATTTTATTTGCAAGTTGAGCACAAACTTAAAAACTTTGCAGCGCTTTTCATTCAAATTACTCCTACGAATTGCATAAACATTTGATTATCAATTTAATACTGTGTATATTTATATATTATATATTGTATAGTTTTCCATTTCAAGTGCACTAGTTGATATATGAAAGAACTTCAAATGTAATGATATAAGGCTAATATGACTCAGTGAAGTTCCTTTAAGCTTTGAATTTCAAACACAGATTTTCCAGGTTAAGAGTCTGATAATTATTTGACCAACATTTACCTTGTCAGGAAAGTCATCTCTCTCTTTGATGACGTAACCGCCAACCTCAGTCAAAATGTCCGCCGTTGTCTTACTAAGATGAATCTTACACGCTGCAAATATACAAAACAAGTTACAGTAACTCAAAGTCTGAATATTGTGTATTTAAAGCATTGACAACTTTCTTATTACTTTGCATCGCAAGTCTAAAAACAAAACCTCTTAAAGAAAGGACTCATTGTGGCTCTCTGTCAAAATATACTCCTTTTCTTAGACTGGCAACAGGAATTAAAGAAAATAACATTTTTATTGGATATTTATGCCGCAATGGTATAATACCAAATGTCACTGTTAAGTTAAGTGACAACCAAAATACAACTCCCCATTTTTTACATAAGTCACGTGGTTATTCTAATCGGTGCAAGAAATTTGGTTTTTTCTTTAGTATGACATAATATAGCAGTGTTTTGGCTTTTCTTTTCTAAAGAATAAATGAGCACAATTATTTAAGGTTTATCAAATGTTTACAAAACTTACGTTTGCCGAGAGCCTCCATTTTGTTAGCCACATTGACGGCTTCACCAAACACACAATAATGCGGCATCTTTGTTCCGACAACTCCCGCCACTACAGGACCTTGTTTACATACAAAGTATTGTTTAACTTACATATTAATCCAACCTTCTGCGCATTCAACGAGGATTTAGCATAAAACTTAATGAAAAGTAGGTAAATAGTAAGAATATATATTGATGGTATTTTATTTTATTTCTCGGAATGGCGTTCATGACAGCAGAGACAACACCTGTCGTATTTGGGGGATACCAGTTATCCTTGCAAAAGAATTTAACTACCGACAGCATGATATTTGAAGACAATTTAGAAGGTAAAGACATTAATGTTAAATCATTCGGAGAATATTTTTGTTTTCTATATTCTGTTACTTTTCCATACTTAAAAAGACATACTATTTGTTTAGACTGATACGATATAGTTGGGACTCTTCAAAGGATATAAACACATCTAGGATCAAATCTTTGGACTGTTATATATAGTTTTTTATGATTCATTAGATGAAATGTCATCTCAACAGTTGTATAACTGACAAGAGAAGATCAATCCTTATCAATGGTAGCGACAATTTTCAATTTGCGACATTAACACCCTTTATGCCAATCTCCATCAGAAATGTTTCCTTCTGACTTGTTTGTCCATAATCTTATCACGTACATGGAACTTTCATAAAATTATATTTGAAATACCGTACCACTATGGCATCCTATCCGCAGCCTGACGTTAGTTCCGGGTATATGCGGAATCTCCATTCTGTTCACGTGCTCTAGAATGTCCAATGAAAGCGAGGCTATTTCTGATGCATGGCGTTTACCGTTTGGTTTAGGGACACCTAAATCGAAAATTTATTAAAATTAATCATTTGTTTTGAAGATTTGAATATCATAAATATATTCGTTCTAACAAATTTCATCTTGTAATATATACGAAAAGGAATGTCAATTATCATTATTGTATACAGTTGTAGGAGAAAAAAAGAGAACAAAACAAAACAAAAAAAACAACACATTTGTTAAAATAGATACATGTCTCTTTCGATGTAGTGAAATCAAGTGGCTACTCTCATTGTGAAGCCCGAGAAAGCACCAATTTGTTTCAAAGAAAAGTTCAAACGGAAATGTGATACCATTCCAATAATTCTCAGATATAATCATCAGCAATTCTTTCCACGGAATGTTAATAGATAAAAAGGCTAAAATACTATAATTCAAAAAGAGGCCGGAAAACATACCTGAGACTACTAGGTAGGCATCTCCTATAGTTTCCACCTTGTATACGTCATAAAGATCTATTCTCTCATCTAGACACGAGTATATAGTGTTCAACATCTCTACAATCTGTGAAACAACAACAATTTACCTCTGTTCAAAAATAAATAAAGGAAAGTAAATATTTGATGCCTCTGTAAGAATAAAATGAACAGGATTTCATTTTAGTTTTTACTTGTACAGCCATATATTGATGATTTGCCGATACGATCGTAAACATAACATCTTGTCTGTCCGTCTGTCAGAAGAACAAAAAGAACATTCGTAATGGTAATCAACCAAATGATGCTTCTATATTATTTTTCACAAGAAAAATTATTATTCTTGAATGGGCAAATGATGTGAAATTTTGAACAATTTATTAGTCTAGACCTAATGGTACACAATTAAAGCTCTAAAATTATTTTCCTGTCAATAAAACGCAATGGAGTCCCTAGCTCAGTATGTTCTGTTGATTTACCTGAAGCGGTGAGCTACGGGAAGAGATATTTGTGAAGCCTACAATATCACTAAACATAATGGTGGCTTGTACAAACTCCTCCGTGCTCACTTCCTGGTTCTGCTTCAGCTGCTCCGCCACTTCCTTCGGTAACATCTGATACAGCAATGTGTCCGTTCTCTTCTTTTCTTTACTTAACGCTTTAGTTCTGTAGTTCAAAAAAGAAAACGTAAATAATTAGTTCTAAAGAAAATTTATTCTCCTCTTACCTTTAATGGTATAAAGTTAAGGTAAAGCTTTAAAGTTAAATGATTAATTATAAAGTATAGGCCCAAAAACAGAATTCAACGCTTTACTTTTAAAATATGGACTGAACAATAGTAGTAAAGCCTTAGTTTTATAGTATATATTTAAGAAGAGAATACTTAATTTAAGAATAAAGTGCAAAGTATAAATTCAAAAAGAGAATATAACTTTCTTTGAGATTTTTTTCTCTAGTATAGTTAAAAAAAAAATCAATATAGGGGCAAAACGAATATAAAACCATCTAAAATCTCTTTTTTTTTCGCATTCTAATAACGACTCAAATAGAAAATGCCAGTTTTGTCCATGTAAGAAAGAAACAATTGTTTCCGTGATAGTCTTTTGTTAGAAAAGCAGTTTTATACATATCTATATTTCAATTTATTAAGTACAAATTATCTAAAATTGGAAAATAATGAAATATCATTTTCACCAAAACTAGCTTCAGTCCTGTTTTTAGATATTTATCTTTGTTTTCATCGCTCCAGAAGAATCTTCCAATTTTCAAAATTTTAATATCAAATAAAAAAAATGCGGTATTTTATATTGTTAACTGGAGTATGTTTTTTCCAATATAAGCTCATACGCTCTCACCTATCTGCAATATGAAGAGAACACCTCTGGATTTCCACTGTAAGGTTATAGACAGCGTAGATTATTACCGGACATAAAATAAGTACGGCACTAAAGATGATACAGATTATAATGATGTTAGTGAGGTCCGTCTGCTGCCTGGCCGCCAGTAGACCGTCAATCGTGAGAGCTAGGGAGACCTGGGCCTCTCGTATAATGTCCTGCAATCAGAAATATATTTAACGTATAGGGAAAATATACTAGTACCCAGTTTCTCACAGCTTACTTTGTGAAGCATGTATTCGGTAATTCGGCTTAGCATGTATACCGATTGCCGAATAATATGTCTAACGATTGTTCGAGTTCTTATTTATCATTTGACGATGCCCTTGTTTCCTTACATACCCTATTTTTTATCAAAGATGTGTGGTACAGTTCAAGATTGCAAAAATATACATATTTATATTTCAATTGTTTATTTAGAATGTATGATTCTTGATCTTCTTCATTAGCATACAGTCTATGCATAACAAATGTTTTTAACATGTGTAGAAACAAATGCTTAAACGGGGTATGTATTAAAAAAAATTACGTAGGACTATAGTTCAAGTATGCTTTTATATCGCTAATTACCGCAGCATGACTAGATTTTCGACCTACGAGGGTTGTCCAAAAAGAATGCAACCAACCTGGAAATACGTCATATTTTCAAACCAGAATTTGGCATCTTTTAGAGATCCGACTGTATTAATAACAGCGCCTGAGTTTCTTGAACGGATCTCTCCTCTTTTATTTTGAATAGTACGCATGATTTCTGGATTTCCTTTGATTTTAGCATCGTAGATTTCCTTGGCAATGGTCGAGTATTGTCGGGCCGCGGCGAAAGAGGCGTTAGACGTATCTTGGCTCTCTACAAAATACAGGTACTCTTCTCGGGTCGGGAACTCTCCGAGGGTGTAGAATATTACGCCCATCGCTCGTTCACGGCCGAGGTATTCCGATGCAACTAAGAGTTCTTGGTATGCAACAAATGCTTTCCAAACCTAAAAAAAAGTTTAAAGCGATATCTTTTTGCTCAAAAACATATTTTTGCTATTAGTTTCTTGGTGAAATGAAAGACCGAGACGGTTAACTTATAACTATTTTTATGAACAAACATTATTAGAAACTGTCTTTAAAAGTATATCACAAGATGCTGTTCTAACAATAAAAAGGAAAAAAACAACAAAAGAAATAAAGAAGAGTTTTGTAACAATCTCTTGAACGCTTACCTTTTCTGCACGTGCTTCGGTGATAGATTTGTAGAACCATTTGATAAACACTTCTATCCAATCAGAATACGTGATCAATTCCTCGTGAAACGTGACCTTTAAAGTGTCCAGCTCGTACCTAGCCATTTATTAAATAAATTGTTATGTAAAACATTTGTTAAATTTTATCTCTTTATTCCTGCACAGTAAATTGTTTCCACGACAAACATGTGGCTAACAAGAAATATTTTTTGTATCGTTGTTATAACGTCAAAAATAAAATCACTGTTTCACCATAGCATTGCGTTTAAGATTGAAATTAACTAAAGTGTGTTGTGGTCTTCAAGAAGTTAAACATGAAAAATGAGAGAGAAATAAAAGCAATCTTTCAACGAACATGTTTGTACGGAGCCCCTAAGGTGACATTTTCCACACTTTTTTCCCCGGAATTTAATTCGTTTTTACGAAATAATAATTCGTAATTACGAAATAATAATTCGTTTTTACGAAATATTAATTCGTAAATACGAAATATTAATTCGTTTTTACGAAATATTAATTCGTAATTACGAAATATTATTTCGTTTTTACGAAATATTAATTCGTTTTTACGAAATATTAATTCGTTTTTACGAAATATTAATTCGTAATTACGAAATATTATTTCGTAATTACGAAATATTAATTCGTAATTACGAAATATTATTTCGTAATAACGAAATATTAATTCGTTATTACGAAATATTAATTCGTTTTTACGAAATATTATTTCGTAATTACGAAATATTAATTCGTAAAAACGAAATGTTATTTCGTAATTACGAAATAATATTTCGTAAAAACGAATTAAATTATTTCTAGCGTTTCAAAGAGTTTTGGTAATATTTATAAATAAGGCCTCAAAACTAAGTTCCTGACTTAATATAAGGCATGTACATGCAATATAAATAGCGATTTTTGTTCTCCCCAAGTTTTTTTAACTTTACACTATTGTACATAAATTAAAATATTCGCATGTCAATAGCGTTGAGCCACAGCCGTGATAGACACGCGCTAGGAAAATTTACTTAAAATGGGGGTCCTGTGCTTCAAATCCAAACACGGACATTTCTAATAATAAATTGTGAGGAAATATTCATTTTAAATTGATTAGATTAGTGAAATCTGAACCAACCCCCTCCTCGTCCCATTAGTTTTACTTATGTATATGATAAAAGAACGGAATAATATAGCATGTTTCTGTTTTAAAGATACATGTCGTAAAAGATTGCCTCAAACATTAAAACATTGCTGATAGGAACATGTATTTGACAATGGGGAAAAAAGACCATTTTGGATAGAGAATGACTTCTCACTTAAAAACCCTGTTCACTTAAATATAATAACTTGAGAACCATTCGGCTTATAATCGCAAAGTTGATCAAGGCATGTAAATGACCCATTTGTGAGATTAATAGGTTCATTATCAAGCTCAAAATGACCTTAAATAAGATTTCGTTTTTACGAATTAATATTTCGTAATTACGAAATAACATTTCGTTTTTACGAATTAATATTTCGTAATTACGAAATAATATTTCGTAAAAACGAATTAATATTTCGTAAAAACGAATTGATATTTCGTAATAACGAATTAATATTTCGTAAAAACGAATTAAATGCCGGTGTAAAAGTGTCGAGAATGTCACCTTAGGGGCTCCGTATGTTTGTATATTTACAAAAATAAAATTGATTTGTAAACCTTTATTTTCATTAGACACTTTTGTTACTAATTTGTTAGCAGTCACAGAAGTTGTCAATTTGTAAAATATATAGTTTCTACAAATATTTGTAACTATACCTGTGTCTATTAAGTGTTTTTAGGAAAGTCTCACTGGAATCGAACTCGGACCTTGTGTTACTAAGGGACGTTGGCCACTCTGGTAGATTCTGTACAGCCTCGTCGGTGTCCAGGTAACGCTGCAGTAAAAACCCTTTGGTTTCCGGGCGTATCGAACTCAGGTAGAGGGCGCTGCCGTCCCTCTCTCGCTGTAGCGACCGGATCATGTAAGCCATGTCCAAACTGAAGTTCAAAGATCAGAAAAAAAAACTACTTTTCCCTAGTGTCTTGTTTAAGCTCATACATTTCTCATGACAACACTTTATTATGAAAGTACTTTTTTGCGCTAGAAGATAAGTTGTACAAACATGTACATGTATTGAAACAATTTTCAATGGATATAAATTGTATTGTCAATTAATTAACAGAAACGGAAATGCCTAACACGCACTAGCAATGTATACTTATATAAGGCCTTATTAGACAACACAATACAACATGCTATACAACAAGCATCTCATTTAGGAATATTTATCATTGTAAAATATCAGTAACCTGAAGAGTAGAGTTGACCGGATGGAGGTAGAATAAAGATAATTGTTGAGTGTTGTGCCGAACGAATTTCCGGTGAGTCCCACCAGGATGGATACCGGTATAAGAATAATAGCCAACATCTTAATCATCTGATTCCGCTGACCAGCCGTCGTGATCGGGTCACCTTGGTAACAAGAACAACAATAAAATCATTTTATCATTGGAACGGAACAATAATAACATTTTATTATGGCAACATTTACAGAAATTTTTCATTAAGAAAGAGGCTTTGAGAAAGATCATGTAAGGAAGATTGTCGCTTGTTAGTGAATGAGGATTGGACATGATTCACATGTGACAGTAAATATTCCTGAATTGAAAGGATATGCTAATACACGTTTGGTATTTGTAGCGTCTGTTGTGCGTTCCTTAAAACATGTTTACATAATAAAATCAACATAAACTATTACTACATTAAAGGTAGATTTTGGATTTGCATTTTAAGTGATAATTATCTGCTCACAGATATAGAGCTTGTAAATTTCAAATGAAACTAAACTATAATTTATGTTAAAGTATCAAAAAAAAATAATATAAAAAATAGCAAAACTTGCATTGATTAATCTCTTACATTTTATATTTCTAAATGTGAGGAATTAGACAAGAGGGTAAAATCAAAAAATTGAGGAAAAAACATCGTTGTATTGGGGATGGACGTATTTCCGGTACGTGCGGAAACTGGTTTCACTTTGGCTAACACCTACATAAAGCTGGGAGTTCATGAATAACGAAATAAAAGTTTATAGGAACGGCCTCTGTCAATCTTACATAAATCCACCGGATCATATCCTTTGATTTAGAGACTTAAGATATTGATACATGATTTAAAAGTCTCCATCGTCACAAATATAAGGTTATAAAAGTACGATATTTTAATAACTGACTACCGGCATGAGAAAACAATCGGTAACGTCATTCACCTTTTTTTATAAATTGACATTTTTTATTCTTAAAAATATCCATTTCTATTGCTCTTGAAATAAATGAAATCTTCTGAAACTTGCTTTTCGTTACTTATTCATATATATCTTTACCTCTTCAAAAGTAATTCACTTTTTTTTTACGTCAAAGACATCGTTAACGACTTTTAACGTCATTTGTTAATTTTTCTCATGCTTCATATGATATCAATGCGACAGAAAAACATCATATATATAACTGTTGTTAATATTGAAAACAAGAAAATAATTTCAAACGTTTAGCCTTGTATGAAATGATAAGCGTAAAAAATTATCATCATCTATGACGTCATCCTTTTTTTATGTGCGTTTTGACTACTAGCAAGCGATAAGGCAACATTAGACGTACACGTACATTCGTACATCATTGATTGATTAATTGATTGATATCTTTTTTAGGAGAAATGTTAAGAAGCTTATATTTTATATTTATACCTCTACAAGCGTTAAGGCACTGATTCCCGGTGTTGTTCACGTGCAGCATATCCATAATGGCTGCGTTCAGTTGTGACGGTGACAATGACGTCATGGAGGATGACATTGACGGCATCGGCTTTGCAGGGGCCACTTTGCCATCGGATTTCTGCCAAAAGGGCATCTTGAGAGTTGAATTAGTTAATGCCTGCTTTGTAGGCAGGGAATCAGACTAGACCTATAAAGACAACAACCTTGTTCAGCAAATTTTATAACTTAACAATAATTCACGTATATAGTACTGTACTTAAAGAGAAACTAACAATGTTCCTTTAGATTAACACTATTTTTGCATTATTATGAAAGAAATATTATGCTCATTGTTTAGCTGTAAAATTCAGCTGAATTAGCTTTATATTTCAAAAGATTGACTATTTTAATGTTCATTGACCAGTGATTGATTATGTCAAAATAAATAAAACTACTTAAAACTTAAAACAAAAACTGCCCTAATTTTTATGGACATTACGGACAGATTCCGAAAGCTATTGACAGAAATGTTCAAGGGTTATGTGGTACATTTCTTACTTTTACATATTGAAAACAACTACAATGTACAGCAAAATATAAAAAGTTATTTTGACTTTAACCTTTACCCTAACAATTTACTTAAGCAAAGATAACTTATTTTGCCTTTTCGTTTTCATGCGATTGGATGTATTATATTTTCAAGATTGATGATAAGCTGTATACGCTTAAGTGAAAATAAATATTCTGCTCTGTTCTGTTCTGATAACAACGTTTACATAACATATTTTACCATCATTTTAAGGTATAATTAATAGTCATCATATTTCTACAAAGTAAATAAGTGAAATGAATAAAATCAATTACGTTATATCAATCAATAACGAAAAACAAACAAACATTAAAATAATAGAAAATAATTTTGTAAAAGAGAAAATATCTTACCTTTTGTCGAGTGTCCAAATACTTAAAGAATGCCTAGTTGATAATGACTTCGCAAAGACGCTGAAGTTGCTAATGGTTGCTATAGATATGGCTGAACATTTTCCTCGGGATCTGCAAAGTGACAACGATCATTGATTTCTAACGTCTCCTTATTATCACCCTTTTTCTACTTCTACAAGAAGTTGTTGTACAGCTTTCACATCCAAAAATATCCTAGTTAGGAATTCTTAGTTTAGACGTTATCCATCTAAGGCCGATTTTGGAGACATTTTCTTGCTTACTAGTATTTGAACACATTTGAGTCCGCTTCCTGGAACTACAAAGTACTGCTGTGATTTGAGGAAACATGGTCATGACCCAACAAGGACTCTATCTTCGACCTAGGGCTGAATTGTGAGGCAGACGCCTTGACTACTAGACCTTTACCAGGAATTTGTCCAAGGCTTTTATATATATATAAAATATGTATATCTTCTATTGCTAGCATCTTTGTTTCTAACTGTGTACATGTATATATGTGACATTTACATATCAGCCTAGTATATAATTATACAAATGTACGTAACGACTGGCATTAACTTCAGGAGAAATAATTTCATTTATTTTATTATAAAATATTCGGAGATAAAGCAAAGTATAATGAATTTAACGATGTTGGACAATGAAATTTCAGACAAGATCTCTTCTGAGTAATCAACTGAAATACAATGTACACATATTTAAGTTATTATTATTTTCTTAATTGTTATTATTATTGTTGTTATTATTATTATACTTTACAATCATAATCCAAATTATTATTATTATTATTATCATTATTATTATTATCATTATTATTATTATTATTATTATTATTATTATTATTATTATTATTATTATTATTATTATTATTATTATTGTTGTTGTTGTTGCTGTTCTTGTTGTTGTTTATTTGTTGTTGTTCTTGGTGTTATTGTTGTTGTTGTTTTAAACGTAGGTTATGGCTCCTTTTGAAGCCAAAGGCAGAAAAACATTTAAAAAAAATAATATTGCTATATATGTTTTTCACAAATAGCGTAGCATTATTAATCAGCTGAATCAGAAAATTAATAAAGCAACGTGTGGCATTTAAATATGTGACGTTTACGTTTGATAATGCTATATCAATCGATATAGACATCAGAGCTTGTTGACAGAGTTGTTCGTGTTTTAATGTACATCTTCATCTACTCTAGGATTTCATATGGTTTGGTCCTTCTGCTTAACTCGAACTATTCCACGATTCTTGGTTTGATCCTCGGCCGAGGCGTTATTTTTCGGTGACAATTGATCACGTGCTGGAGTTTAATGGTCAATTCACTCTCATCGCTGGTTCGGAAATCTTGGTTGGTTAGTAGTTCGTCACTTGTAGAGGATTGGTTATTTCTGGTAAGTTATCCTCGAAAGTCAGTCATGTTGATCGAACGCCGAGATAGTAGTTGGTCACTTGCTGAGGAATTGATAATTTCTGGTTTGTTATCCAGGACAGCCGGTTTAGGTTGACTAAACGCCGAGATATGACCAAATCATGTGTTGAAATCGGCGTAAAACAGAAAAACAAACAAGTAAACAAACAAGCAAATTGTCTGAAACAGACCACTTGTTTAAACAAATGTTTTTTCCTCAATTTGATCATTTACTTCACAGAACAGTTATGTTCTTGTTAACTAAAAAGCTGGCGTGATTATTTTGCGTGCAGGTAAACATGCTTAAAAAGTCACAACGCAACTCGTTCATGTTTGTCGATTTTTAAAGAAATATTGTTCGGCCATTATTATTCCATTAAATTATTTGTATTAAGGATGGGTTACTCAAAAATGATATCATATTTGAAAAAGGACTAGTTATATGAGGATAGCTGGTTGCGTGGGTTCAAACCCCGTTAATGGCAAGCGAGTGTTTCCTTGAGCAAGAAACTTTTCACTCATTGCTTAGTACTGGTTGGTTCTGGTGACAGAGACGGATTTGAGAGTGTTTCAATAAGTTTCTAGCTTTCAACACAATTGAACAATATCGAATTCGTATAAAATATTTGAAAAAGGAATCGGAAGTGCTATATAAATAACACACTTTTTATTTGGTGTTATATTTTGAAAAAAAAAGATATATCGATTTCTTTGAAGGCTTGAAAGGAAGTACTATTACAGAAAGAGGGATGCCAGTAGAAAGCATCAAGACGAGTATACGTTGGATGATCCTAAATCCTAAATAACGTAGGCTTTTGCAGTAACTAATTATTATTTAAAGGTATCCTGTAAAAAATAGCATCAAAAATGAATGGAAATATGTCCAGCATATTCTAACAAAATATAAGAAGAAAGTAGCAATTCTTTGAAAAAGTACAAACAAAAGAAAACGGTAATTATTGTGTACTGGGCGCACGTCGGTGTTTATTTCGTGACGTCATTGACGTTGTGACGTTTACTGAATTAGACAAACAGTTATTTTGTTTTACTTTTTCAAAATATTGTCTCTGGTACTCAATACAACGACGATGGCGATGAACTCATTGTTGAAAAATGTCTACCAATCACTGTGCGATAATCCTGCTTGTAGTTGTCCGTAATACTCCATGGAGTCAGTGGAAATCACATTTTAGGACCTGTGCAAGTTTTAAATTTCCAATATATTTTTTGGCAAAATTAGATTTATGCTTTAAAGTATTCATCTTAAGGATTATGCAAACGAACTGCTGACGATGTTTAAACATTACATTTAGCCTAAATGAAATTAAACGTCGCTACGTAAGAGCAATTTTCCTCACAAGGTAATATACGTTATTGCTTCACGCTGTTGCATGACAGCCACGTAAAATACGTATATCATTTTTATAAATGGTAGGACTCTATAATTATTTTTTTATTCCAGTGCATTTAAGCTGTGATTACAAAATCCATATTATCAACGAATGTCAGCGAATTATTCACGATTTGTAAGGTTCATTAAAAACATTAACATAAGTTCATTGTGCATGGGAAGTAAAATACGGTATGTACTGTATCTTTGAATGTCAGGTACGACCTTTAACTTCAAAGGTATCGATAACTAGTTACACTTCCTTTTTAAAAGATAAAGAAAACTTTAGTTCTTCAATGACCTGAATCAGAAGCAAGAGTTTACAATCAAATTTTTTACTCCGCTCTTTTTTACAAAGGCTTTTCAAGTGATGTCTACCATCTATATTCTATTACATTTTTGTTTATTTTTCAGAATTAATTACAAATGTCACAACCAGCAAACATGAAATTCCAGTGTTCAGCCGATACTTAACTTGTTCAAATAACACATACGGGTACTTGGATTACTACGCTAGTCTAGAAGGCAATTAACGGCTTTGATAGTGATGAGCAATCATACGAAAACACTTGATCGCGGAGAAAAATAGTTCCACCTACTGTCGCTGTTGCTAATCTGTCTGTTTAAATCCTTTGATATCTCAATCAGTCAAAATGAATTTCGTCTAAAAAGATTTCGCAAAGCATATACGGTGAAATTTACACTTGACGATAGGTGCAGACCAAAAATATTCCTACCCCGCGTTCCTAGTCAAAATGGCGGTCAACCCAAGATACGTGGACGCTAAAGATACCGTAGTAAATTACTTCTGCCAAGTTCGTGTGAAAATATGTAGTGGTTTGTTTGTCATGTCGAAGTTTACTGTTGAGATGACGAAGATAGTTACTTGATTGCAATTTACCACATTTAGGCAGAACTATTTTTGATACGCGCATCATAAAAGGTAGATCAGAGGCCAACATTTGATTCCCATGGTTATTGACCGATATCGTATTTGTTATTGAATGATAAATTGGCATATAATTACAAAAAGGCGACGTCTGTCTTTGTAGAATAGATGAATTCCATAAAGCAAACGATTGCTGGTGGGACCAGTCCAGTCATCTTAAAAAGGATTTCATTATTGAATCGCATCGCACCTGTCACTGACTGCAAGCGTGGTCCTTTGTATCTAAGGTGCCAGAAACACAACCTACCATTCTTTTTACTTTGTAGTCAAATTAATATCAATTAATTATCAAAAAAGAAAAAGCACATTATAATATTGGCTACAACTGGCTGTTAATTCAATAAGTAACATTTCAATGTATTTGTCTCTTCACCCCTTATTCTATATAATGTTCCAATTTTTAGTTATTTTGGACATCTAATCTGCCTCTCCTTGTTTCCCACACAGAAAGTTCTGATAGTAATAAATGGGCTAATATTGGTGATAGTAATAAAAGGAGTAACTTTAACAAACCACTATCTTAATTATTTGTTTCAAATTTGGCGACTATCATAGATACCAAATTTAACGAAAGCAAGAACATCTTGTTATAAAATATTAATCAAAAGTTTTGTATTCTCCAGGTTAAATGGAGAGGAATTAGAATCTTAATCCGTTTTTTTTTTCTTTTTTTTTTTGGGGGGGGGGGGGACAGCATTTTACATGTCAAAGTAAAAGAGCAAAGGAGATGAGTTTAGAATAAAAAGGAAACGTATCGATAAGGGAGAAAATGGCCTGGACAAAAAACACAGTGGTTTGTATGCATTGCACTGGATTTCAAGAAAAATGATTATCTAAATAAAAATATATAGTTATCTAAGTGACAACCAACTTCCTGGAAAGAAATTTTAGAAGCTGTTGTTACTTAAAGTTTAGTGCTCTTACACTTTATCACAATGTAATTATAATACAATTTACATGAATCAACATGCGGATTAAGGTAATATGGAATAAATTGAAAATCATTTTCTCGATTGTTTTTAAATTGTTATCTGGTTTAGACATAGTCTAATCCACTCAAGTACTTCACGCCGATTTCTTTACTACCATAACATTGGATAAGATAAAATCCCGCCCAAATAGATATCACGAGCAAATCGCCATATCTCACCATCCTCACACGAGATTACGCGAGATTATTTAAATGACGTTCAGCCAATGAGATTACGTTTCTCCTCCCTTATGTATGACACTTGTAGAAACGGTGAAATGTGACATCCCGACATGGCCTACCGTGATTAAAAACAAACAGGTTCTTGTTTTAGAGCCACTTAGTACCAATGTTTGAACTAGTTTGCCACAAATCTTATATACAACCAGACAATCTTTGGACTTATACTATTGTTTATATACAATTTTCATAATTTTAAATGTAGTTTATATAGGCTGTACTAATTCCTGTTTCATCAACACGAAGTGAAAACAATAAAACAGTTTACATAACTTGGAATCAATATTTATCAAAATAGTTTGTTTTAATTCTGATTGTTTGTAAAAACACTTGTGTAAACTTGGAACTATAATATGCTATAATGCATCACCATTCTATGGCGGCAATGCAAGGTGGTTATTTGGACTCGAGCGGTTTCCAGAACGGACTTTACGGAACTCTTGGATATGATGGAAGTTCCATAAAGCTGCACCACGGACATTATCCAGAAACTCAAGACACTTGTTATCCGAATTACAGCAACACATTACCCGGAAGTGGTGTTCACTACGCCGCGCGTGATCCGCCATCTTATTCAGAGTCCACCGTTTACCAGAATGGATACATTCCAAACTCGACCTCCTCCTACTATAAAATGGCGGGTTCTAATGACTTCGGGATTCCTCGGGGAGATTCCTCTGGAATGCTTTTGAAAACAGATGTGATTGATTCTAATTTAACTGATAATGTAAACATAATAAATCATCGGTTTGAAACCGAACATTCCGTTACAGATATAAACAACGTGCAGCAAGATACACAAACTCAATCTAATAGTAACCCTCAAAGTCTTAAACTGGATGAAATATCTGAATTTAAGACAGATCTTTCTCTACAAGATTCCGTTTCGCCAAACGATTCCTCTGAGTGTTTGACTGTTGATATTAAAGAACAAGATACGTGTACAAAAGCAGACGACATTATTGAAAATGAAAATGCTGCAGTTGTTGCGGAAGAGGATAACGCGCGCGGGAATTCTGATGTTAAACCTGCTTTGTCATATATTGCTCTTATAGCAAAGGCAATTTTAGAGTCTAATCAGAAACGGCTGAGTTTAGGTTCTATATATTCTTGGATTGAAAAGAACTATCCGTATTATGTTAACAAAGGTCAAGGTTGGAGAAACAGTGTACGCCATAACCTCTCATTGAACGATTGTTTTATTAAGGCCGGAAGATGTGAGGACGGGAAAGGAAACTATTGGGCAATTCATCCAGCAAATATCCAAGACTTCATGCGTGGAGATTTCAGGCAGAGACGCCGTTCAAGGAGACGTGGACGAAAGAAGGACTGCGACCTTGGAATGTATCATGTGACCAACGGTTATATTGGAACTTCCTCTCCACTGGCTCCGGCTGTTCCATTCAACCCCACGCCCGCGCTTAGTTCCATCTATTCCCCCTACACAGAGGCTGAACGCAGGGCTTATAGACTTGATGACGCATTGCTGCGTCAAAATATGAACAATCCTTTTATGAAATGGTACCATGGCAACAATAGTTATGGCAACCAAACGCCCGGATGCAATACGGGGATGTACGGAAGTTCGTCACCGCAGTGGCAGCCAGGATACACCGACCAAACGACATATCAGCTCAATGCGTTCTCGCCAAGGTAGGTTTCAAACGTAAAAATCGTGTCTTTTTTGTCCAAAAATCTTTTTAAATAGTGTCTTATCTTTTATGGGATGCTGCATGTCGCCCGGAAGGCAACAACTAAGTTTTTAATAGGATATTAAATAGTTGAGCAAGTTGGTCTTTCCTATATGTGACACTTTCAACTAAAATTGATTAGCTATGATATAAATCAAAACTTCGTCTACATGCATTATTTCTTACATTTAAGTAAATATAATTTTTTATCAGTATTGATAAACAATAATTGTTGTAGTAGCACGTTCTTGATCGTCTTTTAGGTATAATATAATTGTCTACGGTTTAAGTATAATATGTATGGCTTATAACTGTATATACACGGTACATTCCTAAAATCTTTCATTCCATTAAACAAAAATTTTGACACACATAAAAGCATATTGCTACGCGACAAAGAAGGAGAAAAATAATTTACACTTTATTCCTTAAATTCTCTTAATACATGTATAATACAGAATTACAAAATGTTACAATTTAGATTTACAATGATTTAAGTAAATGAGTGATGCCTTTTTTGAAATGCCATGAAAAAAGTTATTAAAATATTATGCCTTTTTTTTTCGTTTTAATTAAGACATACATAGCAGAATCTTTTTACCCATTCAATCATTTGAGTGTTTTATTTTTCAACAGATCATATTTCATTTGGACACATTTCGGCTAAACTTTGTACGAATTAAACTTCTGAAAAGTAACGATTTGAAGCCACTAAAATGCGTGCCCCAGAAAAAATTCATTCTTTTTAATCGGATTATTATAAAAAAACGAAGATTTTTTATATATAAATTACAGTTTTTAGTACGACTGTAAACAGTACTTCTTTATATCTTTTAGAATGCACAATTTTGTTTGCATAATAAAACAATATGAAATGTATTTTTCCAATCGCCATGATATATTATTGTGAATTTATTGCGAAAGGTCAATGTTTTAAAATTCCGAGCTGACGATGATTTATCACTTTTTTTTCCTGTTTTATATTGATGTTCAAATTTCAAAGTAAATACATTGATAGTACTGAACTAATTTTTCGCCGTTAAAGTGTTTACTTTTACATCATTTTCTTTTGAGAATTGTACAAAATTAGCTATAATAAAACAGGACAAAACTTTTACATCTTTCAGTAAGGAAATTAGCTTCGATAGAAATAGGACGAAACTTTCACATCTTCATGCGTTAAGTAAATTTGTATGTTCATAGCTTCATATTCATCGTGTACATTTAAAAAGTCACATTTTTCGAATGTCATTTTAAGTAATCATAAACAGATAGTCCGTACGGGATTATTTATTTAGACTGATAATCACAATCAGGAATTAATAAAAATCCAATTTGTCATTCAAGTATTAGACATCATCGGCGTGAAAATCAAACAATTTTATCTCCCTAAGTTTTTCTTGATTTTTGCAAAGATGAGACCGCGGGATTAACACTAAATCTTATCACGCTCTCTTATTCCGAAGCTTAAAATGTGTTAAATAAACCCCTAAAAAATACGCATTAAATTGATATGGAAAAATTTAATTGTAAGACAAACAAAAATGTCCACAAAAAATATTTAAGAAAAAAGGGTAAATTAGAATATAAAGCAACCGACGCAACATGTTTGTTGTGAAGCTTATATATGTGAATGGCACTGAAAAATTTTATTCATGAAAAAGAGAGATGTTAAATACTTAAACAGAACATAGAATAAGCAAACTGGTTTTGTTCTTTCACATTTAAAGGAGTTACATACTATACGTATCCTTTGCCATGTTTTGCACTTGTCTTAAATCATTTTCATGAAATATATTGCAGAAATGCACAATTTATTTAAATAATAATAATAACAATGATAATAATAAGAAATGTCAACAACAACTTATTAATTGAAGACAAATACAAAGACTTTTTTCTTATCAATAAAATAAATTTGGAGCTGGAACTGAACCTTTCATAACGCCAGTCTTATGAAATTTCATAACTTAATCAATTCCGATTGATTAAAATCATGTACAATATTTTTGTTTCAAAATACATGTGCTCTAACTATATGAATAGTCATAAATTCATATAAAAGTATTTAAAACACAGCCCGTTTTGTTTCATTTTCCATTTAAGCCAAGTGTAGCGAAACAATGATTGAAAGTTAGAAGACATCCCAATCTTTGTAACGTCTTGAACAGCATTCTTTCTTTTTTCAATTTTGAATATTTATGTCGGAATATTTGTATGCATTATGTATAATGTATTATGCTGCCAATTTATTGAGAAAAAAATGTTTAAACCAACAACCTTGTCATAATTTAAATATACGGATGTTTTCTACTGAGATAAAATTCTTAATAACGATATCTAGTTTAAATAAAATATATCTGATACAATAAAATATTTTAAGAATCGCTGTATTCTGATAGAATAAAATTTTAAAAAAGAAGATTATTCACATTTAGTTATGACAAAGGTTAGTTGCCATACCATAGATTATACTGTTATGCTAATACATCACGCAAAATTAATTAATGAAATTGGAAAACAATTCGAATTTTTTGCTATATTTTGCTGTCGTTCGTGTGAGCACCACATTGATCACATACCCGTGCCGCTTTTATGTCTCCGTAAAAAGCGATATTGCACGGCCGTGCATACATTTTGAGGTGACGTCATTTGCGTCATACAAACACAGCGTAAAAACGTGATACATAATTGCATTACAAAATAAAATTATTTGCGTTAATAAATAATATTTTTTAACCGTAAGCAGATCTCTTTTTGGACATGTGATGAAAAAAAACGATTGTATTATATTCGTGTAGCTTCACTACTTACGTTATTGAATTCGTTGAATAAAATAATATTTTGCTCGCCATTGACCCGCATAATTTTATTTCATCCAACTTATCCAACTCGTTTTCAATTAATAAATTAATAAGCGACAGGATAGCAATGCTTTTTTCATAAAAAAACTTAAAGGAAAGCAACGACTTTTAGTTATGAGTGGTATCAATTTGCTACAATGATTAAAGATGTCTTATAAAACAACATATAATAAGATATATATCTTGTAACATCAAACAATCAGCATAAACATGTACTTATAAAAGCACATTTCCGTACAGAAACACTGTCTAATACAAACACTAGTATATATGGTGGAAAGTATAAAGCAAAGCGGTTTATTCCGAGTATCTTTTTATTCTCACTAATTTTCAATTATTTGCAATTCTGATCTGTTTCTGTTGCATTCCTTTCACTGAACGTATTTCCAACAAAATAATACCATTTGAAAAGAAGGCTAGAATAATTTTGTCCGGTCGTCGTCAGTATTTAATTTGAAATTGATGAAAAGTATTACATGCATATAGATGATGCCTCTGACAAATTAAAATGAGAACAAGCAAATATAACTAATCAAAATAATATTTCAATTTAAAAAAAAGACAACCAGAAATTCAAAATTATGAAATAATAATTGTAAGAGTGTAAAAGTAATGCTTCTCTTTTTGGTTGATAATAGCTTCTATAATTATTTTCTCATTTTTCAGTCGTGTTATATCTTTCTGGTCTTTGGGGATCATTTATTCCAGCACGTTAATGTTGAAGTTTGAATACCGCTTAAGTCGGTGTTAGGGGGCGTGAAAGATGTCGCATTTTTTAAAATTAATATCTTATACACAGACTCAAACAAACTGTGTCTGCAATTCTCATAAAACATTGTTGTTTTATTGCTTTCACCATTTTCCAGATTTTTTTCTACGTTTTCGTCGGATTCTCTCTTTTGACAAGTTATTTCCGCAAGCTGTTATGTCAAATTTTAACCTCCTTTAAAACAATTCAATATGATTACGGTAGTCTGAAATCAATCTCCGTATTTATGGAATGTTAAAAGCCAGGGAAATTCCATATTTGCTGTAGATTTATAAATTAATCTGCTTCAAATCTTAACTGGATCAATTCTACTCGATTAAGTGCTCTTAAGGGAGACGATATTCTAAAGCTCTCCAACTCCAAGAACTTTCAATCAAGTGCACCCTAACTGCACTGTTTGTTCACATATTACAATGTTGTTTTGAATAAAACCATGTTGTTTACGAAGAGACTTATTTCCATATGCTTGAATATTTTCATTATAAGATTAAAATATGAATGGAACATGTTGCGTTTAAGTTAAACTGGTATTATATTTTTTGTAAACTACATGATAAATTATGATTTATAATAATACTGCATTTTAGCACCCATTGTTAAAATAATGGCATTTGTGTTAACACATCATGTTTCATTGGAATAAGGTCTTTTGAATTTGAAGTGTAAATAAATCCAGCGTTTTGAAATTTTAAAAAAATATTTATATGAATATGTTACTACTTTGACGAATTATTAATTTTCTTATTATCAAACAAAAATGGTGTCTACTTTAAAGATCACAGTTTACGACTCGATTAAGTGTTAGATGATTTTTTAAAGAATGATAATACATGTAGATGAAATGTTTTAAAAATATTACCTTAAATATTTTGCATTTTATCTTTATAAAAGATGTATAATCATTTTAAAATAGATTATACCTGAGAAATCATCATTACAATTAGAAATATCAATGTTTTTGCAGTACACATGTATAAAAATGCTCTTTTATATTTTCAGAAATTATGCGCCTCCGGCACTTGTGTGAAAGAAAAGAGGATGCGAAGTTTCTCTTGAAACAAGGTTGCTCAATGGGAGTTTCTTGATGGACTTTACCGGAAGTAGAAAATATTGACTTATTTTGTCAGATGCACTGACCGGAAGTGATTGTTATATTTTCTTCAACAACGCATACAAACTAACTGTGATTTAATTATTAGGCAACAATTGTTGCGGTATGTGCTATAAAATAAAGAAATATCACTTTTTGTAAATTTTGTAAATAAAAAGGATATTATTTAAATAAAAGAAACATTAAAATAAAATGTCCTTACTCGTATATTGTGTCACAGCAATTGTCCGTTTGTAGAATTATTTCTTTTCAAAATGACATGACCTTTGTTTATACATGCATATCGATCTGCTTAAGTTAAGAGAGTTGTGAAGTTTATACGAAAACATCATTTTCACATCACAATCTAACAAAGACCTACTGTTTAACAGCAAACAGCTTTATTTATTTCTTTTAGAGCTACCCGGAAAGCAAATAAATGATTGTACAATAATTATATATAATTACCATCCTCCAAAGTATTAAGTATCTGAAACGATATTAAAAACGCGCCAGATTTTCACACTTTCACACTCTACTAAAATAAAAATGTTGTTTTTAAGTCTGATTGTCTTTGACAACAAATCCAGCGGACACGATTTCAATCCTCCTTACAATAACTGATTTAACTTTAGACTTTAGACGAAAAAGCAAGTTGAACTTCCGGTGACAACCATATATAAAACGTGTATCACACATTTGATTAATATGGCCATTCGTTATTCGGTTTTCCACACAAGCTTTGAACATCATCCGTCCGCCCCTTTCTTGGACCTATAATGGAAAAGGTCATAATATTTTACTTACTGTTTGAAGAAATATATGTCATTAAATTTATGCTTTCCATGATGAGGTTGTACTGGAATAGTTTTACCATATATCCTAGAAAATTTACGCGGACTACGTTGCTACTAAACAAAGACAAATGTTACGGGTTAAACAATTATTGTTGATTTTAAAGTAAAACTGGTGTAAAAGCTTCAACACAGATGAATTTTTGTTTTTAAATGAATGAACGTGCAGAATTTGGGAGCTTAGTCATCCAGCTCACTCTGTCTATGTTATCAGTGCAATACACGATTCGAACATGAAATATTTGACCCGTAGAATAAAGAGAAAAAATTGGTTGACTAAATTGTCAATTTACTAAAGGCCAGAGTGGTTGTGTCAATAAAGAATTCAAGATGATTCTAATTACTATGATGTTATTCTTGTTTGCTAAGTTGACAAACAGAAATTTCAACTTTCAAATTTTGATAAAAATGGAAACGTCAAATTGAACAGTTGTGTAATTGATAAAATGTCAAATCTTAAGATTTTTCACTTTAAACTCAACATGAGTTTTGTATATTTTGAAATTAAATTGCTTTTGAAGTTAATGCCTTCTTCTAGGTACTCCATATGTAAATTTAATTAACTAATCTAGACGTAGATCACTAAATGGAGCCATGATTTTATAAAATCCTGTCTGTAATGAACACAACAAATTACTTGTTTACGTCAGAACAAAAATGCAGATTAATCAATGTTCTTCTTAAAACCGATAGCCTTTTCAACGCCGGCAGAATTCCAAAGATTCATTTAGAAAGCGCTTGATTGGCTGGATTTGTGATCTTGGTCATGTGGATGTTTAATCGATATTTTAACACCGGAAGTGATTCAATATGCAAAATTTTCGCAGTGGATGTCAATTTATCATTATGATTTAAGTAATAGCATCGATGACAGTCTAATATATTATATAAAAATATGCTGAAGATTGAATATATTAGTTTAGTTTTTTAATATTCTATTGTTCTTTCAATAAAATTTAAGAACATTATTTTATAGTCATAACAACAATTTTAACAACGGGCAAAATAGTTGAACAACAAGTTCTAGCAACATAGGCAAATGTCTTTCCCTTTATAAGATATAGAAACGAAAATATATTTAAACACTATACGCATGAGCAATAATAAAAATAAGGACGGCTACAAATATAAAATAGCATGAAATCGACATGGACGTTTAAAAAAGAAGAGATTGAACATTTGCTATTCTTGGTGAATATAAACGGATACAGAAAATCAAGTATCTGCCTTGCGATTCTCCAGATATATTACAATTATCATGAAGTGTATTCCTAAGCATTTTGTTTGAGTTTATTATACATGCCACTTGCCTTTTTAGCAATCACTTTAATCATCCTCAAAATGAAATTACTTGCTCCATTTTAAAGGTAGAAACAATATCAAAGGTCCATAAAAATGATAATATCTTCAACAGAAACCAAGTTTATTAATTCTGGTACTAACTACATTGAAAGAAAACGAGATTATTTCCATATCCTACATATTAATTAATTAATGGTAGGTGATGTAGTAAAAATTTAAAAAGTGAAAAAATATATTATTTTAATACGACCTTATTTTGACGTCACACACTTTTGACCATTACCACGTGGTTCATTGTTTTCTAGCTTACGTGACTCAATATTAAATTCAGAAGCATTAAAAGCACACATTTTGAAGACTAGAAAAGATTCTTACATCTTACTTACATTTATATTTTGATTAAATGCAACGACTTGACTTGCCTTTATATTGTAATTGAGTTCTAATAATCACGCCTATCAATAAGTATCATTACATCAAATAACTTTAACTTAACTGAGTTGAAATATTAAAAGAGACCTTTCTCAACTGATGATACCAAAGGAAAGTTTTATAGTAATAATGTAATGTCTTCTTTTGTAGAAGGGCTATACGTAAATCAGAAATTCAGTTATATTTCAAGGTTACTTTTTAATATTATACCATACATAACATCAAACAATGGCGGCGATATTATGGAACCAACAAGATGAGCAACATATTGTCAATCAGTAGAAGAACATGTGAGTCCTAGACGAGTAACAATGGTAGGAACAAAACTGTTACAGACGAGGATTTTGAAGTTGTAAATCGTGTTGTATTAATTTGGTAAAACAATGCTATGACACAATTATTAGACTTTAACTAAAACCATGTCCACTTCTTTGGCATATTGATAGATGTTAGCAGTAACATTTTAACCAAAGAATCGCAACTGCTCTTTTATCTTTTTTCTAAATAGCCAACCAATATAAACTTCAAAACAGATAAACTCAAATATAAATACATTGTACATATAAATGTAAAAAGGTGTCACACTTTTGACCATAAAAGAACGAATGACAATACCGAAACCACTGACTAACATTACAAAATTTTATTTTAATCATCTGTTGTTATGGCCTTGTACGATTTTGAACAATCAGCGATAGTTCGTAAGTGAAATAAGCTATATTTTCAAAAGTCTATACAGAAGCTTTTTATTCCTCCGATATTGAACGATTGACTGTGATGTCTGTACATACAATTGTCGCGCACGATTACCAACTAGTTCAGATCATTATTGAACATCATGTTTCATGTCCGACGGTCTTCGTAGGTCTTCTCCCTTATTTTTGAAGTGTTATTAATTGTTCACCAACATATTATTATTTGATATGACGTTAGTAATATAACGTTTCGTATTTTGTATTCATGACATAACGTCATACTCGTATTCTCGTAATGTACTAGTCCACGTAAGACAATAAGATATTACCGTGTAACATAGATACCGCTTTTCGTCTATTTCAAGTGTTTCTTTGCATTTATAGATTTTCGTTAATTTCAATTTATTTCTTACGAAACGAGTCCATTTCATAATAAGCTTATTATTCAACATATACCTATTTGTGTGTATGCGAATTTAATGCGGCTAAAACAGACATTAGTTAAGGCATAAAAACAAAATTATTTGAAGTGTTTTAAAGTTCTTTGAAGTTTCTTTCTTTTATTTTTAGCATACTTTAACATGACCGACTAAAACGACAAAAATTATATTACGTTTCGTAAAAGGTAAACACAGTCAATACGGATTTTATTCCATATATCTCTAAATCAAAGACGGTATAATCTTGACACTAACTGTGCTATCTCTTCAATCCGCTACTTATAAAATAAAGCCACGCCCCTTAAGAGGGGTTGATAATATTTCAACATAATCTAGAGTGTATTCCTAAAAGAATGAATGTAATTTATTATTTCTAACAAGTGAAATATGATATTTTGAAAGTACAGATCAAGTTTTTTTAATATATAAATTAATTTCAATTCAACATATAATTCAGAGAAGACGCAAAAAGCGACAAAAATTATAACACTTATAGAAAAAGAGTTTGAATATTTTGCTGGACTATTCCAGGAAAAGGTCTTGAGCATAGTGCTTCCTTGACAAATCCAATAACACGATAGCCCTCCGACCATATACATTAACACAATGCACTTAAAAGGCTTGATGATTCAGATTTGGAGATACTTTTTAGAACAAAACAGGACATTGCTACATACTAAAATAACTGCATAATGGACATTGTTCTGCAAGGTAAATTACTACTAGTGTTGGAATATACAATTTAATTGTTAATATTGACATAACATGTTGCCTAACATCAGATAATTGATACAAATATAAATAAATAAATAAATAAATAAATAAATAAATAAATAAATAAATAAATAAATAAATAAATAAATAAATAAAATAAATAAATGAATAAATAAATAAATAAATAAATAAATAAAAATACCAAAATTGAAATAAATTATGGTTGTGCTGCTTTTGTTTAATACCTTTTTTGTTAGGCATGTACCATTTATCTATAATAAAAAATCTTTATAGAACATAACAGAACAGAATTTTTATTAACGTATACAATATATGTATCTTGTTAATACAACATCAAATTAAATACATACAATGATAACGTATATATTATCTCTATTGACCATAATGATAGTACTTTAAAACAAAGTGCAATTATATTATTGATCTTTAATTAATTAATCAAAAATATTAGTAAACTAAATGCATGCTCTGAAATTATATTTTTTGTTCAAGTATATAGTCCAAACTTCATATTCAAGATGTGTGATATACAAAAATACTTTCACAAGAATGTGCTTTCACATGTGAGCCGCGTCACGACAAAACCAATATAATGGGTTTGCGACCAGCATGGATCCAGACCAGCCTGTGCATCCGCGCAGTCTGATCAGGATCCATGCTGTTCGCTTACAGACCCTATAACAAGTGAAGAAACTGATAGCGAACAGCATGGATCCTGATCAGACTGCGCGGATGCGCAGGCTGGTC